TGCTGAAGGTCTTTTGCTTTATTGCCAATTTTAAGGAAATTCTTGGAATCAAAGGTGTGTTATTAGACGAGCTAGTAAAGATGTTCAAAGATCAATCGTATTCATCAGAGAGTATGTCTTCTATGCATATGAAAATGCTTGAGATGATACAAGAAGATGCTCGTGATTGTATGGTTGAGGATTTTGTGGAATGCATCAGGCCTTCAGCAATGCTGATACAAGAAGCAGTAAAGGAATCGAAAACTGATAGAAGTGATTTAAGCATAGATATAGTAGCAAAATGGAACGATAACATGAGCATTGAAGATATTGTAAAATCTGAATGCGATTGGAAGCAGAAAATAGCCATGTTTGTGGAATTTCTTTCGAGTCACCTGAAAATGGATCTTAAAGAAATAGGAATGCGTGTATTTGGCTCTGATGTATATGGAATGAAGGATTACAACTGTACAATGGTGGATAGACTAGTCTTTTTTGAGTTTTTGATGAATATGCTTTGTGTAACAAATGCTTTCAGAAACATGATATCTGAAAGAATGAAGGCATTGAAGATGCTCAATAAACAACGTAAAAAGTCACAGGTAATGATGAAGAAAGCCAAAAAGACAGTGAATGCAGAAGATGTATGTATTTTGAAAGACCAATCTGTAGAGCAGCATAATGAAGATGTACAGTGTAGCTTGAATACGCTAGATACACAACCCAATGTATTTATAAAAGCAGATCTTGGAAATCTCGATGGTATTCGCTTTTTTATGGCAGATGGAACCATATATGCACAGAATGGTCAAGACTATTACAGCGTGTCAAGGGACAGGCTAACTATGATGAACAAGAGCTATCGTGTGAGAAGTAAAGATGAGAAGAATACGATAGCTAACATCCTGAACAACTCAAAGGTACTTTAATATGATACCAAGACCAGTCCTATGGATCGTGATTAAATAGAATGGATATATGATGAGCATCTACTCTTAGCATTCATGCAAATATACGATACGATACAATGGAATCATATCATATCATACAAATTGTTCTGTTATTCCCTCAAACCTGAAAATGATACACAAGTCACTGTTTATGCATGATGCAACAAATGTGTTTTGATTCGCATAAACAAGAGCAATGATCAGCAGGAACAGGATCAATAACTTACTGAGGAATGACATTGAGGCATCGACATTCGATCATAGCATGAACATAGGAAGATATTTGACAGCCATTAGAAACCTTAAAAAGAAGTATCTTGGCAATGAGATCACACTGCTAGATATTTATCAATACTACAGGATACCACTATCTATGTATACATCCCGTAAAATGAGAAATGTGTTTGTGATAGCTTCTCTTTGCCTGACAGTGTACATTACATCAAATATGGATACACTAAGGAACAATAGCATTCCGAGACTTGGATTGAACTTTTCCTCCGCAACCTTGATTATTGGAGGTGTTTTTGTGGGAAAGGAGATTATTTCGTATGTGCTCAATTTGAAAAAAACAATGTCTATGTTCTACATATACAGATACATATTAAAAAGTGACACAGAAAGCACCAAGTTTAGGGACATTGTTGACCAAATAATTAAACTCGAAAAAGAAACACATGGAAGAGACTTGCGCGAAAGAGACATCAGGTTCATCATCAATTACGAAAAGTTCCTGCTGCTGATGATGATGAGAAGGTTTCCATCAATATTCCATCCAATGTGCTCCAGGTTTATGCTTTACATTATGCATCTTTACATCAACAAAGTAGGTGTGCATGAAGTCGATGAGCTGCACGATGAAATCAGAGTGGTGGCTTTCATCATGCTTGTGCTTTCTCCTGTCATCTCAATATTCTTCATGCTGTACTATGTTGCAAAAATAATCGAAAACTCTCAGAACTGCATTTTCTATTCATTCCGACGGGAGCACAGAACATCATTCAAGTATTTCATAACAAAAGGTAATGAATATCCTCATGAAACCCGTATGAGAATCCAAAGAGGTGCAAAGTACCTCGAAGAGTTTTTCCAAGTCAAGAGAGGCAACTATCTTGTGGGTATATGCTCAGCAATCTCGTTCTTCTTGAGCTGCTTGATTTTCCTTACTACATGCTTGATGATTAAGACCGTACTGACAAGTAACTCTACGCTTAACAGTGTCTTCCGTGAAAACATAAGGATATTTGGTAGGAAAACAAGCATAGTCCATCTGTCATACTTTATAGGAGGCATTTCATTTTGTCTGAAATGTTTGAATTTTAGGTATGCAACAGCTAATCGTCGTAAGGCATTTGTAAAATGGTGCGAAATTATGGATCAGAAAGAGCTTCTTAAATACTCCAGAAACAGGAGGTATCTCGAGCGTGTTATAACAAGGTTCTTTGTGCCCAGAATTTACCTTTTTGTATTGGAAATCATCTCTCCGTTTGTTGTTCCATTCCAGCTCTTAAGGTTTAGAAACGAACTCAGAAACATTGAGCTAATGTTCCAGTCTGCTGGCAATTATAGAGAATACAATAGATTTTTCAGAAACAAACGCGCATCTGTCCTTGACTTATAGAATAGAATTATGCATTTGACATGTATTATAAATATCATCACTATTTAATATTGTTTGCTTCTACTACAAGAGATTCATTTCCTTTCTTTCAATTTCTTTTGCTTTTCGGATAACACATGATGGCTTTATTACATATCTGCTGCTGAATTTTCTCAAGAATCCTTGTGTGTCGCTATTTGTTAAAAGCCCTTTCTTAAATTCAACAGTAAGGTCTTCAGGAAACTCTTCGCGCTCAAGCAGTGGTAATGCAAGCCAAACAGATACAAATGGTTCAAAAACCTGATACTTACAGCTCGGAAACATAATCGATGGTTTCTTATTGGATCTGATAGGTTCTACATTCTCCATATCCTTCTCCACCCATTCTTCACTGCCTTCAGATTCATCTTCCTCTCCATCGATACTTTCAATATCCTCAGCCTCCTCTACATCCTCCCAGTCAGACTCATATTCGTAATCAAGCACATGCGGAAGCTTCAAAACACTGTTTCTTACACACATCTTCTCATTCAAAGCCTTATGGACAGGCGGTCTCAGTTGATCGCTAAATTTGATGAATGTCAATCTCCGTGCATTCAGAATATCCTTCCTTATTCGCATACTGCGTTCAAAAGGACTCTTTGAAGTGGCAATTGCAACACTTTCATCAAAGCACACTGGATGAAACATTCCAATGGCCTGCATCGAAGGCACCTTTTTGCTTTGTACATTGACAAACTTTAGCATACTCAGCTCACCAGCATTTCTATCCAAGGATTGCTTCTTGGGTCTGCATTTGCCAAACTCAGTGCTTCGAACCTTATTCACAAGACTACAAACACTCTTTGGAATTCCAGAAACATCTTTCGTTATATACACGTGCTCATCACCTCCTTCAATAGCCTTCTTTACAAAATTCATATCAATCATCGTTCTCAAGTATCTCATTCTATCTTTTTTGCTTGGCTTGTTCTTCTTATATCGATACAAAATTTCATCCAACTCTTTGTAATCAAGCTTCCGTTTGCAATCTACCAGAAGCACAAGCAGATCTAGCTGAATATTCAAATCCTCTGATTCCTTCCATTCATATAGCAATTTCAATGTCTTTGGATGAAATAACATCTTCATGGCTCTAAAATCATTCAAAAATATATATTCATGCATATACAAACATCACTTGCTATCTTCTTTTATCATCACATATATATACTTTTCATAACTCAAATCCAAGCTTCACTTCAAAGTATTGGCTTCCATAGATTGCCTTCAAATCATCTTGCGCAACGTACTGAAGATTTGTATGATTAACAAAAGACATTCCTCCTCTCTTGCATATCCCAGCCACAAGTCTCCGTGCACCTTTAGTGTTCATCTTTGCAACCTCATTGAACATCTCCTTCGTCATAATCACATTTAGTAGAAATGGTCTTTCCTCAACTACTCTATGAAGGAAAAATATCATCTGTCTGAAATTCTTATCAACATAATCCTTCACAAGCACCACCATCCTTTCATCATTGAAATTCAGTATCCAATCAACAGGCAATGTGTTGAAAAATTCAATCTTTCTCTCACTAAACATCTGGTTCACAAGCACAGTATGGAAAAATTCCTTAAAAACCTCCGCTTTGCAGCTAAACAGTATGTAAAACTCAACAAACTCTTTGAACCGAGAAATCCACTGCTTCATCTCTTTAATTACAAGCTTAGAGTCTAGCTGGCAGAAGTCGTGGTAGAAAAAGTCCTTGAGAAACTTCAGCCTTCGATATTCAAATGGATACAATGAGAAGCTTATCTCGCTCTTTGCTTTCAAAAGCGCCCACTTTATGTCAATCACAGGCTCAACTTTCTGTTTCTTAAATGCACGGAACTGATTCTCCTTTATCCTGCTTTCAACCCTCAGCACATTTACCTCTTTCTTCAGACTCTCAATCTTGCGAAGCTCATACAAACTCGCTTGGCTCTTCTGCTCCTTCATTGAAAAATTCTCCTTCTCAAGCGATATCATGTTTTTGCGTAGAATCGATATTTCTCCCTGTAGTCTCATATTTGCCTTTTTCAACTCATTCATCTTCTCACTTTGTATCTCTTCCTCAGTAAGCTGCATCTCGCTTCTCTTCACATGCGATTCCAAAGGCATCCCTAATTCAAACACTTAGCCAATATACTTATTATATAGTACAAACTACATACTTGCTCTTGATTTATCTATATTAATCATTACATACTGCTTCTGAACCACACTCATTCCATCATTATCACAGAGCCACTGCTTATCTTCAACAGCGGAAGAGTATATCTCTTGCCATCCAAGACAACTCTGTATGCAAACTTCACACAAATCGCACCATATTCAACCGTAAAGCATCCTCGTCTGTCAAACAACACAAAAATCTCCTTAAAAACACATCTTTCAGATTCAAATGCATCAACAAGTATTTCTTCTTCATTATAAATCTCTCCATTTATGCATTCAACAGTCACAATAAATACTTCAGTAAATTTTACCGTTCTTTCATACCTCACAACCATTCTATCCTCTTCAATCAGGTACTTTCCATACTCAACTCTAGCAATCTCCACATCGCCTTCCTTAATAACAATCTTGCGTCTTTCATTCTCAACTGAAATATCATCCACCGACATATACAGATACACATCTCCTTTGCACAATACTCTGAATCTATGCGTTACATCATTCATAAACCCTCCAAGGTTTTCAATCATTCTTGCCTTGCTGTTGACTGTCTCCTCAATTCCATTCATACTTCCTCCAAGCATTCTACGCAAACTTCTAATTATTTCCTCAAAAGCTGTTTCCTCTCCACTTCCAACTCTAATCATCTCTTTGCATATCACTACATTCTCCATAGGCTTCAAAGGCTCAAATCCAGCTGCATAAACCTCAAATACCTGTGCATCAGTCTCCTTTACTCCTCTGAAATACATCTCAACAACAATTCTATATTCAACTTCAAATGACTTAAGCTTCATCGATGGAACACTGTCCTTCGGTATCACACATGCATAGCTAGCGCCGCATTGCTCAATCTGAAGTTGTACAGGAACTGCTTCCAAAACCTTGATTTCTTTGCCATTAATAATAATAACTCCAACTATTCTGGCCGTTACAAACACATCAGCCACCTCATCTTTCTTAAAACACCTCTTAAGCATTATCCTTGCTCTAAATATTCCTCCCACAAACGAGTTGTTTGCATAAATCTCAAAAACCATCTCTCCAAATTATCTAAGGGACTCCCAACACAAATATTCACTAACACACATAAACACAATCCTCTTTAATCAAAATCATTTACTACATTCTCTCTCATCATTTATTCCATATGTTCCTTTCAAATGGATCTTCTTCCATAGCATTCAAAATACCTACTCCAAACATATTCTTTGTTGGATGTTCCTCTCCAGTCGATTGTGTATCTGCGTATCCTATACTTGGCTTTGCTGGCTGTTGTTCTGCATCTCCATTCGAAAATAATCCTCCAAACAGACTCTTTCCAGTTCCAAACACTGCTTGCCCTCCAAATCCCATATATTCAGGTGCTGCATGACCTCCAAATCCATTCACTGAAAAAGTCACAGGCACTTCAGCTTTCTCTTTATCGTTATTATTAAATCCAAACATCGGTATCTGTCTATCAGTCATCATTCCTCCAAACACAAACGGTGGTGCCTCCTGTTTCAATCTATTCAGATCCTGACTTTTCTCAGTATCTCCAAGCTTCCTCTTCAAAGATATCTGTCCAGAGTTAATATCAGTTACATTAAATCCTTCTATCGATCCCTGAACCATTTCTCCATTTCCTTTCAAATTACCTTCTGCTTCAAACACCTTTTGACTATACATCTTCGTTTCTCCAGCAAAAGGATTATCAAAAACATTTCTATTCATCAATAACGGCATCTGTCCCATTCCATCATTCAACCTACTTCTCTCACTAATATCTATTTCTTTATGTCCTTCATCATTTACATCATCCACTCCGTTCTTCTTCAATGCAGGTTCACTGCCAAATATGGAAGATCGTGTTGCATTCCCAATATCACTATTCATTGCATTCCAAAACCCAAACTGTTTTGGTTCCTCAACATCTGCTTCTTCCATAGCTGTTTTCATATCAGATCCAACCTTATTAACTTGGTTTCCATCATTCACTACTTGTTTCATGCCATTCACTGAATCCAATTCTTTTTCAGTCACTTTATTAACTACCCCAGAGCCATTATCAATCCAACTCTTGCTTTTCATATCTTTAACTACTCTAGATTCATTATCAACCATTTTTCTATCATCTGCAAATCCTTCATATCCGCTTATCGCATCATCTACTCCATTCATATCCATTGCATGACTTGCCCCATCACTCACATCAAATAACTTCCCTCGCTTTGCCTGATTCAAAATCCTTTCAAGCTTATCACGATCTTCAGATTCAAGATCCTCAATATCAAACTTATCATCCGTAGCATATCTCATAACTCCCCTATCAATCCCAAACTCCTTCTCAAAGTAGAAACAACGCCTTGGAATCTTAGCCTCCCATTTCTCCTTTGCTGCTCTTCTCCGCATCCTGCTCTCCTCTTCTTCATGTTCCTTTCTTTCATTCTCTTTCGCTTCATATTCCTTCCTTATCTCATACTCCACACAGCTCTTGCAATTGTATTCTCCTCCAAAATTACATCCAATCCTCTTGCTATGCATATCAGACTGACACAACTTCTTAACATTCTCTTCCCCAAAGTACATTTCTTCCTCACTTGTAGATACTTCTCCCAAACACAGAAACAGATTCTCCTCCGCATCATACGATATCGCTCTTTCAATCGTTTCTGCAGGCGTCATTCCTTCCTTCCTGTACTTCTTTGGCAGCACTCCCCAGCTCACGTCATTCTCTTTCCTAAGCTGCCCTTTCTTCTGATACCCACTCCTCCTGTGCTTCTTAGCCTTCTCTTCATCCACTCCTACATGCTCAGATCTTACTTCTTCTAATCCTCGTTTCCTGGTTACTCCTACTTCCTTTGCAATCTTCCATTCAATTCCCCTCTTCAGCTTTTCAAACCCTTCTCCTATCCTCTGCTCACATCCTGGTTCTGCTATCTTCTTGCACAGTTCCTCAATCCATGCAAGTTCACTCATCTCAATAGGTCTGTCACTTCTCAGTCTATCACACAGGTCTTCATATGCATCCTTCTCACTCGTGTCTGCAATCTTCAATGTCGTCTTAATGCTTCTCCATACTTCCTTCATCTTTTCATAGAATCCTTGCATCCTGGGCAAAGTAATTTTTTATCATAACTTACTACACATCTCTAAATACATTATACAATTTCATTCACATTATTTATTAACACAGAACATTTATTCCCACTCATTCAATATCAAGCTTCTTTCCACACACTTCTCTTGCATATTTCTTCAGCTTGCAAGCCTTCAGAACAAATTTATCGCCTCCTTCTCTCTTAAGCTCATGTCTTACACATCTCTTAAACCCATCAACAATCATCATGTTACTCATTTCATAAGGCCCTTTGCCACATACAGGGCATACTCCTCGTATTTTCAGCTCTTTCTTGATACACAAGTAGCAAAACACATGCCCACATTCACTTTCATACTTCACAATTATCTTTCCTCCACACACTCCACATACTTCATTCATGGGATTCTTTAGTATTCGCTTATTATTACTCTCCAAAAATCGTATTCATTTACTCATAGCCTTCGCCATGCTTTTCTCGGCATTAACGTACTTCAAAATCCTCTTCATAGCCTTCTTCAGAATCCCAGACACCCAGATCGTTGACATCGAACATTTCAATCCGTTCAGCTCTCCAATAGTTGCAAGCGTAAAAAGCAGATTCTTGTATCCTGATACATCACATCTGATCAGTGCAATCTTGCAGTGCTTCATATACTCAACAACACTAAGATGTCCTGCCTTCGACAGCCCGCTCACTCCATAATCATCCATAAGCTTTGCTTTCAGAAATGGCAGCAAAGAGGTCTCCAATGATATATTCCTCTCCTTTTCAAATCTAATTCTCACTGCAATGTATCTCATCTTCTGCCTAACCATTTTCAGGGCATTATCATTCCATTTCAAATCTCTTCCATTCTCACGCTCTTTTCCTCAATAACCATGTATCTGACTTCAATACACAGCCTTTCAGCAACACTTCTCACATTTATCAGCTCATCATACATCACACACACAATCCCCCGATACATGCAAAATCTCCTGATTTCACATAATGACCTTGAAACCATTATTATAGGAATGCCAGGCCGAGATGCATAAAATCGCTCAACTTGATCAGCAGGACAGAGCCATAATACAATTGCTGACACATAAGGAAATAACTCACACATTCCAATAGCATCCCCGATCTTTCGTATGTACTTCTCTGCATCCATACAAATCATTCTCATCGCCTCAACCGTTTTAATTGGAAACCTACCAACAGCAGTTTCTCCACTCAACATCACACAGTCACATCCATCCATCACTGCATTCCCAACATCTGAGGTCTCAGCTCGAGTCGGCATCTCCTTGCTAATCATGCTTTCCATCATCTGTGTTGCACATATCACAGGCTTATTTGCCTTCTTTGCCGCTGCAATTATCCTCTTCTGTGAGCTAAACATACTTCCCATCCCAACCTCAACTCCAAGATCACCCCTGGCAACCATCAGTCCATCTGAAACCCATGCAATCTCATCTAGGTTCTCCATCCCCATACACGACTCGATCTTTGATATAACAGGAACATTTACAACTATCTTTTTGACATCTTCCACATCATGTCGAGAACCAATAAATGATGCAAATATCATGTCTATTCCACACTCAACAGCAAATATCATATCTTCTATGTCATCACCCCTAAGATATTTCATTCCTATATCTATTCCTGGAAAATTCATTGACTTGTTATTTTTCACCAAATGGCCATTCTGAGATATGCATTCAAATCCCCCATCAAACACTTCTGTTATTTTCAACTCAAGACTTCCATCATCTATAAACACATTTGCTCCAATCTTCAATGCATTCAGATTTATCTCAGGTATGAATATTCCTCCTTTTCTTTGTTTCGTATAAAATCTAATTGCATCTCCTGTGCTTGCATAAAAATCACTCTCAATACTGATTCTCACTTCAGGCCCTCGTGTGTCCAATGCTATTGCAACATACTTGCCCTCAGACTTCCTGACATCCTGAATATCTTCAATCACTTTCCTGTGTTCTTTTCGCTCGCCATGACTGAAGTTTATTCTTGCTATGTTCATTCCTGCTTTAATCAGCTGTGCTATCTTTTCTTTAGAGGATGTTTCTGGCCCAATCGTACACACAATCTTTGTCTGTGCATCCTTCATTAAACACAGGGTTTGAACAATTCCCTTTACGTGTAATATTCTCAATTCAGATATTTAACACTCCTCCACTGTAGATATCAGAGCAAGATAAAAGGAGGCTCAGCATGGTAAATCACAATAGCATAAGATGCCTCTCAAACAAATGAACACAATTGCAGTAGTGCTGAATTCAATCGACTATCGCAAAAAAATCACCGATGATGCGGCAACATGTGCATTTTTATGCTCTGCAAAGCACATAGTGCTTATATTTATGGAAAAAAACAGTATCTTTTTGTTCAACGATCCTCGCGTGGTGCTTGAATCAGAGAAGCTTGTTTCCACGGAAAAGAGGCTCCAGAGAAAAGCAGCTACAGAATACCTGCACATGATAGAAAACTCGATAAAACGAATCAATTTAGAGATTGAAGTCTCCAAGTTAGTCATCTGTGGTGATGAAAAATACAAGGTAAGAAAGTGCCTGGAATGTCTGGGTGCCGAAGCCGTTGTACTAATAAGCGAGCCAAGGGGAAAACATCTATATGAATACTTGATCAGCCCGCTTGAAGACTACATTTTCGAAATGCTGCAAATTCCAGTAATCAAAGTTCCAATACATACAAATTCGGTTCCTAAACAATCGTAGCATATGCTATATACTAAGATCACCATGGATTCAAGGACAATAGCTTAATAATAAATCTTTTTGATACAAAGTCTGGATTAAACACAATTGTAGAATACAATTGCTCAATAACTTTTATATAATAACTTTATACAATGCTTTGCAAATAATTTTCGATGCAAATCGACAGCAGCAAAAACTCGCGATAGCAGTTTCATTATTCAATCCCACCACTTCAGATATCACAATTGAGTTACAGATCATGCATATAAAGTCTATCACAATCAGGTACTCCCGAGGCTTATAATTCCACATCACCATAACAAGGACAAACAAGCAGTAGAAGCTTGAGAATACTACTGCCTTCGACAACGTCACAAATCCGGTATGCTTGCCAAACAGACACATCAGCATTCCAATTAGCATCACAAGCTCAACAAACTCTGCAATCATTATTTTGCAAGCTTTCATCACTTCCTTTGCCATGAATAGCTTCTCATGCCAGTCTGCTGCACACAAAAATCTTGGTATCTCACCATCCTCAGTGATAGACATCATAACAGATTTGACCATCAATAAACCAAGCATAGCCAAGCAATGAACTCCATTGTTCTCAAGCATACTTGTGTTGTTAAACAGATAGTGTCTAAAAACTCGTCTTTTGAGCAGCAGAAGATCAATTAGCTTGATCAAGTTGTTTACCTCAAAGTACCTGTCCATTCTTTTCCCACATGACCCACATTTACAAATCTGCTGTGTTGTCGAGCTCTTCATAAACAGATGCTCCGACTTTGTGCCACACTCAATACAGGCATACATTCTGTGGGGCATTCTCTTCTGTCATCCATTGTATGAGGTTGTTCTCAATGCAAGCCCTTCAGATGCCGATTGCATACATGTTTGATGAGGAGGTTGGTCTCTTCCACTATGGACCTAGACATCCAATGAAGCCGTTTAGAATAGCTGTTACACATTCTCTCGTGAGATCGTTCGGCCTTGACAAGAAGATGACTGTGCTTTGTCCACAGACATACCCTCTCACGTATCATCCAAAAGAGTATCTCGAAGGTCTTGGCACGAATGAAACATCAGACTGTCCAAACTTTATTGGGCTTCCTAGGTTCTGTGAGCTCTATGGAAGTGCATCCATAAGCTCTGCTATGGTTCTTTCAGAAGGAGTGTACGATACAGTGATCAATTGGAGCGGTGGATTGCATCATGCTCATAAAAACATGCCCAGCGGATTCTGCCACGTAAATGATATTGTCATGGCCATTATTGAACTGCTCAAGAAGTATGAGAAGGTGATGTACATCGACATAGACGTTCATCATGGTGATGGAGTTGAGGAGGCATTTTTAGAATGCGACCGAGTCTTGAGTCTCTCGCTTCACAAGTATGGTGATGGGTTTTTTCCAGAGACTGGGACACTGATTACTACGTCTCATAAAGCCGTGAATGTGCCTCTGCTGTCAGGCATTGATGATGCAAGCTATAAATATGTTTTTGAACCTATTATTGATGCATGCATAAATAAATTTGTACCAGATGTGATTGTGCTGCAATGCGGTGCAGATTCACTTGGTGGTGACAGACTAGGATGTTTTAATCTGTCGATAGAAGGACATGCATCGTGCGTAAGGTATGTGAAATCTCTTGGGATTCCACTGCTTGTGCTTGGAGGTGGAGGATACACCTTGACTAATGTTGCAAGGTGCTGGGCGTATGAAACAGCAGTGCTGTGTGGTGAGGATCCGGCTACAGAGATACCGGAAGACAATCCATTCTACACATACTTTAGTCCCACATACACGCTTGATCCAGTACTTAGAAGGAAGTACTTGAACAGGAATGATAAGGAGTATCTGGACACAGTTATGAGTTTTGTACTTGACAAGGTAAGCAAGTTTTGAATATGTGTTTTTAGAGTATTATGAGTAAGTTTTTATATGAAGAGAATAGAATATTTGCGGATCAAAAAATTACGGTTGCTGAATACCCATTGAGATGGATGGAAGACTTGAGAAAATTAAAGCTCAGGTTGAGTTTTATTTTAGTGATGCGAATTTCAGAGTAGATAAGTTTCTTAGGGAGCAGGCAATGGCAAATGAAGGATATGTGAACATTGCAACGATAGCGTCGTTCAACAGACTAAGGAATTTGAATGCAACAGTTGAGGAGATCAAGCAGTCACTAGAAGGAAGCAAGATTGTTGAACTGAATGATGACAAGATAAAGAAGATTGAGACTGAGGAGTATCTATCTTATGTTGCTGATGAATGTATTGAAAAGAGGATGGTCTATGCCGAGGGGTTTGATAAGGAAAGCAGTCTTGAAGATATTGAGGAGATACTGAGCGAGTATGTTGAGCCAGCTCTTATAAGGATGAGGCGTGACAAGGAGAAGGTGTTTACCGGGAGTGTGTTTGTGGAGTTGAAGTCTGAAGCGGACGCAGAGAAGCTGATTGGAGTCAAGGTGCGGATCAGAACAAAGAAAGAGAATCCAGAAGATGAAGAGAATGCGAAGAAGCAGAAGAGCGAGGAGAAGTATTTGAACATAATGAAGAAGGAGGAATATATGAAAGAGAAGGCGAAGATGAGTGCAGAGAAGAAGGAACAGATAGCAAGAGAGGCACTTGAGAAGGACTTTGTTCCCAGACTGTTTAGGTATGAATCAAGCGAGGAGCTGGATGTGAAGGCAATAAGGAAGATTGTTAAGAACACAGCATTTATTGATGTGAGTGAAAAGGTGATAAGGATGAAATATATTGAGGAATTTAAGGAAAAGAAGTTTGAGGAGGAAGGAAAGGAAGTGACTCTATTTAAGATGGACGAAGACAAGGCTCTTGAGTACTGCAAGAAGATCAAGATAGCACCGAAGGAGGATAAGAAGTCGAGCAAGAAATAAAGATATATTATCTATTTGATTTGATATGTTTATTGGATTGTTTGGAAGCCCATATGGAGATAGAAGATACGTGCAAGGTTGTCCTGAGGGTTTATACGCTTGGAGATGCGGAGCTGAGTAGGTTTATAGCATCATCTCTTGGAAAGCAGGAGGCACGTATATGGCATACATCTATTGAGGTGTTTGGTGCAGAGTATTACTTTCAGAATGGAATTATGAAAGCGATGCCTGGAAGCACGATACATGGCATTCCTGTGGCTATGCATGACCTTGGTGTAACAAGCATACCTGAGATTGTGTTTGATGACTTCTTGCGCTCAATACAGGATGACTTTGCACCTCATAAATACCATTTGCTCAGGAACAATTGCAATGACTTTAGCAATACACTCGCAATATACTTGGTTGAGCAAAGTATTCCTGAATATATTCTGGAACTTCAAAGGGCTGCATTGAAGTCTGAATGGATGTCTTCTGCTGTAGATATGTTTTTTGGGAAATAAACATTCATATTTCACCTTCTTCCTTTTCTTCCTGTATGGATTGGAAGTACATGTCGATGGCTCTCCTGTCTGTTGCATCTGGTACAACCTCTCTGTCTCGACCTTGTATATATCTACCTAGCCTATGCTCTAGATCATTCATGAACTTAAAGTATATTTCCTTGATGTCTTCATCACCAGCAAGAAGCTCCTGAAACGGTTTGGAGTCTTTGAATACATGGAATGCATTCTTGAACTTCATTTTATAGTGTATTCTTCCCTTTCTGTACATATCCTCAAGCATACTTACAAACGGAGCTTTCCAGCGATTTGCATTGCATATCATTTCACTTTTTACATTTTGAATGTTTATCATGAATTTCCTTTGCAATGCCTTGAAGTACTTGATGAATGCAAGCAAAACATCTTTCCTATCAAACTTCTGTACTTCATTCAATCCAAGCACTTCAATAACCGACGTACTCAATTCAACTCCGTAGTTATGGAAGATCAATTCAAGTTCAGATCTTGTTACTCCTCCTTCGTTATTCTGAATGTATTCTTCATAACATGCAAACTTGTTTTCAATGCCTATGTAATAAGGATGCTTCGAAAGCACATTATTGAATCCAAAAAAGTCAGGTGCCTCTACTTTCATCTTGCATATCTCGTCCACGTAGTACTTTTGCATTCTATGTCTCTCATCCATTTCTCTTGCTTCTTTATCTGTCAAACACTTTCTTAATATCTCATTTCTATTACGTATATCAATTGCTCTGAAAATTGACTCTGTGGACAACTTGTATAATCCATCCTTCATTCCCGATATATTGTATTGCTCAATTAACCTGTTAATAAGGTACTGTGATACCTCGGCATCTGTTATCTTCATGGATGTTCCAATCCCACACAGTTCGGTCTTATTCAGAGTGTTAATGTTTTTGGGCTTTATCCATCTACTCTCCTTAGTGACTGTGTTGTGATAAAACATCTTTCCTTTTGAACTTCTGCATTCAATCCATGGATTCTGCTCAAACTGCTCATCTGAACCCTTAAGTACATCGGGCTTTGCAAAGCTAGACACTCGTGTCTTCTTATTGTAGTAATACTCCCTTCCTTGGCTATCACAAAGCACCTCGTAGTCGCTTTTTGTGGCTTCTTTTACACTCTTCATTCACAGGGTGTTCATCTAACTCATTCAAATAAAACATACAATCGTTTATTTACCATCCGTGCTCTTCACATTCGCACTTTTTAATGCATTTCTTGTGTTTAACTCATTGCAATTATAACAATAGAATTCATTCAGGTCATACTCACTTGGATGGACAAGTCCATTGTGATAGCTGCACTTCTTACATATCAATGCATACATCGATCCAGGATCATCTCCCAGAACAATATCTGCCATGCTATCCATCATCCGCTTCTTCCTTTGCTTAACACCTTCAAAATAACTTCTACGTTCAGATTCGCACTCATACCTATCAATCAGTCGTTTTGCCGCATCAAAAGATTCTTCCTTTTTCAACATATCAATCTTTTCCTTCTGTGCATCCCTCATCTCTTCAAGTTCTGTCTCAATTCGCATTATTTTCATCCTATACAAATACTTCACAAAGTATGATGCAGAATAACACAGAAACCCACTTCCCACCGCAACAAGCAGCAAGCTCTGCTCTTCAGCATATGAATACAAAACACACACCGCAACAACTATAATAGATATAACACTGCTTCTCATCATAAGCCGTCCTTCTAAAATCCTAATCCTCTTTAGTTTCTTCTCTTTCCTTGATATCTGCTCTTCAAGCTTCATAAGGCTTTGTCTGAGTGGATCGCTTCTTGAGAACACCGTCCCCATATCAAAGGGTTCTTCAAAACACTTTCACACCTATCACAAACTAAATTTAATACTCATCGACAAAATCAAACACTTCCTCTCTCTTTATCCTCACAGAGTCGAGTGGATACACCAATCGATCGTCATTATCAGACTTACACACCGTCTTGTAGTTCCTTAAAAACTCTACTCCACCTTGCTCAATCACACAAACATCAATGTTGGATCCAGAATACAAATCATTCAGTATGCCTGCCTCAACTGCATCACATGCAAGCTTGATTGCATCTTCCTTGCATAAATCTGTATATCTACTCTCAAGCACAGATATGGCTGCCAAAGATCCAGATCCAAGTGAAGTAAACAGAACCGAATTTGAAGATCCATGTGGTTGAATGTCATACAGATGGCATCCCTCGTTATCAACCCCACCAACAATCAGTGCAGCACCTATTCCACCGCAGTATTGATGCAGGTAATGTGTGCATACCTTCACAAGATGAGAAACAACAGGCAGTCGATAGAATTTGTTCTCAAACAGCTTCAAATTCTTAGACACCATCCTTGTAACTCTATCTGCATCTGCTGCAACTCCTGCTCCACAGCACATGATTCTGTCTGTTATCTTATGGATCTTGAAGCAGTTCTTGTCAGAAACAACAGGGCCTTGTGTAGATCGTGTGTCTGCTGCAAGTATGACTCCTTTCTTGTATTTCAGTCCCACAATTGTTGTGCCTGTCTTTGTTATCATTGGGGCGTCTCAAAAGGCTTATTAATTAAGTATTTTATTTTTGTAAAACATAATCCCACTTTTACAGATATATGGAAATACCAACTGAATGTCAAACGAAGAGTAAGAGTATACTGGAATTAATCCTTACAATTTTAAGAATCGTATGTATTTCATGTATATGGGGAATGATTTTAGTTGTTTGCATATTGATTATACTTATTACTATAATTCAATCGAATCAATATTCTAATATATTTCCAAATCAACTTAGTATTGCAAATCTTCATTCAATTGTTCCTTGCTACTGTAAAGATAAAAAAACCTTTGAATATTCGTATTATTATCTGAATTCCAACCCTCAAGTGCAAAGCTATACTCTAGATCATTTTACTATGATACATGGATTGGGATCGGACATATGCATGTTTGGAGAAGATAATCTCAAGGAAAAAGGAATTTTGATAATGTTCTTTCCAGGGAATGCATTCTCTGCTATAGAAACCTTATTATCATTGAGAAAGATGTATTACCAGAGATATAACGAGGATGTATGCGTTGCAACAATGATATATAAAGGATTGGGAATGAACCTCAAGCCATCTGAAGCAAATCTTAAAAAAGACATTGATCAGTTTAATAGACATGTAAATGATTTGAACCAGGACACCACATTTATGATACGTGGATTTTCTATAGGATGTGCACCAGCAATATACTTAGCGTCTAAAATTAAAAAACCAGATAATACAGATCACAAATTGATAATACAGAATCCTTTCAGAAGTATGAGCACGATAGTGAGAGAAATACTTCCGAAGACGATTGGATCATTTATTGCTCTTTTTATAGATAAATGGGATAATGAAGCAGAATTATTGAATGTTGATCCAAATATCAAAGTTTACTTGTTTATTTCTAATCAGGATAATTTAATCGACCCTAAAACAAATCAGTTAGTGCTTAGTAAGTCACTGGGAAACACGCAAAAGCAAGGTCATTTTGTGGAGATTAAAAAAGATACGTCTCACGAGGATGCACATAATCTTAACTTTGGGAAGGAAGCCGCTAATATTTTTGATGAGCTTTATGAAAAAAAGTTCAGTAACAGAAAAGTTAAGCGAATTACTTATCCGGAAGAGGATAATAATGCCTTCGACTTCTGATAAATTAATTCAAAGTATTCATTCAATATAAATAACGCATAGAACTTGATATTTCATTAATGAGAGTGTGAATGATAAATCATCATGGAGCTCAATAGGTATCCTGAAAGAAGCACAAGCAATGCATGCACTCGGTTAACCTTCGGATGGTTGAACATAGGAGGTATCATCTCTATAGAGACCATAAACATTATGCTTCCAAGCGCAAGCCCTCGGAACACGCTTTTGATTATCGGCTGATTCAAATATCCAGGTGCTGATCCAAGCATAATTCCAATCGGTGTAAGTGCTGAGTAGAACACTGCAAGCATCAATCCACTGAAAACCCCCATGCCAGAGGTAAACAGCGGGACTCCAAGTGCAAAAGATTCAAGCATCTTATGGAACAGCAGTCCTATTTCAAGCGACCCTATTCTATCAATTGAGTTGAATGCCAGGCCTTCAAAAAACGAATGGATCGAAATGCCCAGAATAAAAATAAATACCTGTGCCTTCGAAGATGCATTCTTTATGGCATCTGTATCACAACATCCCAGGCTTTCAGACTGTGCTTTCTTTTCTTCTTTGTTTAATGACTCATTGCATTTATTTTCCCCAGAAGCTTTACTTATGTCTTCAGAACGAGCATGCCCAGCATCATGGCATTCGTGTGAATGTGCAATCTCACTGCCTTCGCAATGGTCATGCTTCAAAACAATTGAATCAATGGCCAGTAGAAGTATAAATGAAAGTCCAGCTGTGAAAAATGCAAGAGCACTTTGGTTGTCATTATGCAAATCATTGCTAGCTTCATCATGCTCCTTATGTTCATGTACATGTCCATCACAGCCAGATGCCATATGAGGACTCAACTCAAGCAGTTGGACTCCAAGCATAAACCCTGCAGTTAAAAGCGTCAAAAACGGAAATACCTTCTTAAATGATCCAGCAGATATTGCTCTTGGTGATATACATATTGCCAGCGACAGCAAGAACACAATACTTGCAAAAACCATGGAATTCATATCCATTTGCAAGGGCTAGTCAAATATTTTGTTTATTAGTGTACAAATCAATATTGTCGGTGCACTTTACAATCTCAGAAAGAATAATTGCTTCATCTCTAATTCTTTCGAGCATGATCCTATAAATATTTTGAACAACAGGTACATTTGCAGATATTATTGCAGTAGCAATGTGCTCGTGTATTTTGCATGTGCTTATTCCTAATGCATCTGCATATCCAAAGAATGTCTGTAGCAGTTCTATGTCTTCTCCAAAAATATCAATCGAAAGATTGTATCCCATATTCTTCATCTCAAAGTTTCTTTCTCTCATTTTAAACTTATATATGGCTTCTTTGTGTCTGTTGTATTCTCTTTGTATAAGAACCATTTCTTCTTCATTCTCCTTCATTCTCACTATCTAGGGACTATATTATTTGTTTTCATTCATTCACATAGTTTACATGCAATTTATGCATATGCAAGTTGTTTTCTACATAACTGTGATTTTGCATAACATATCTATGAATATTCATGCTCTAATACATAAAATAAAAAATAATCATGCGCTACATGGGTGTTCCCTCTCTGTTCAGATGGCTTCAGCTTTCACATAGAGAATCCATTCACAACATATCAGAAAAGCCTTCTGTCGATTGCCTGTACCTCGATTTCAATGCAATAATACATACATGCATCAAGCCAGGAATAGGATCGTATGATGAAATAGAAAAGGATCTGCATAGCACTGTTGGTGACTTTATTGACCACATGCTGAATAAGGTGAGACCAAAGAAGTTGTTGTACATAGCAATAGATGGTGTTGCACCAAGAGCCAAACTGTCTCATCAACGAGCTCGCAGGTATAAGTCTGCACTTGGAAAAAAAGATGGAGGAGTTATAATACCAGCAATCAAAGCAAACTTGATTCCAACAGCAATGCAAAAAGTCAAGAAGGGAGATATTGCAGACGAAGAGTTTACTGGCGAAAGCTCGTTGTATGACAAGTTTGTTGCAGAGGAGCTTTCTGACGAGTCATCTGAGACTGGAATATTTGATCTTAACTGCATTACACCGGGAACAGAGTTTATGGAGCGACTGCATGCAGTTTTAATCTCATACATCCAGCACAAGCTAAGCAATGACATTGAGTGGTTAAACATTAACATTATATACTCAAGTTACCTAGTTCCTGGAGAAGGAGAACAAAAGATAATGAATTTCATAAGAGCCCAGGATGTAGACTCTAAGAAAGATGTGCATATGATATACTCTCCAGATGGTGACTTGATTTTCCTCGGATTGTCACTTTATCACAACAAAGTACTTATTATGAGAGATCACTTCAGCCCAAATAAGGAGCGAAGCAAAAGAATGTGTAGTAGATGTGGTAGAACTGGGCACAACGATGATGAGTGTGGAGTGTTCACAAACTACAACTTTGTGTATGTAAACATACTTGAGCTCAGGATCAGAATAATCAAAGAATTCAAAAGACAGATAAGCCATCGGTTTGATGAAGAAAGTATGCTGAACGACTGGATATTCTTGTGCTTCCTACTTGGAAATGATTTTGTACCGTCTCTTCCGTGCCTTGAGATCCGATTCCATTCAATAGAAACACTTTCTGAAGTCCTTGTCAAAAACTTTGCAGAGACAAAAGCATACATAACTAGCAATGGGCCTATCAACTATCCAATTCTCAGGAATTTCTACCGCATCCTTTCTAAGAGAGAAGATGATCTTTACTATCGAAAATCTCAGTCACTCGATAGGTTCCGTGAGGAAATAAAAATAGTACCGGATGTTCCATATGAAAAGATCCCAATACACACAAAAGCTGGGAAGATTCAATACTACTCATCAAAGCTGAATGCACATACTGAAGCAGATATACGGAATGCGTGCTATGAATATATCAAGGGACTTACCTGGATATACTCGTACTACATCTTTGGATACACAGGATGGGATTGGTATTATCCATATCACTTTGCACCTCTTGCAACAGATCTAGCAAAGGTATTTGTTGAAGACATCAGCATTCCTCCAGGCATTCCTCTCAGGCCCATTGAGCAGTTATTGGTTGTTTTGCCTCCAATGAGCAAAGACATGGTTCCTAACAGCCTGCAGTTTGTATATGAAAAGTACAAAGAACATTATCCAAAGGATGTCAAGACAGACATGTTCGATAAGGTCCATGCGTGGCAGGAGATTGTGGTGTTGCCATTCGTAGACTTTGGGAGCATTCTTTCAGAAAATTCATTGGTATTCAATACACTTCCATATGAAGATCTGTCTAGAAATATTAGAGGAACTGATCTGATTTTTTTGAAGGAAGCAAAGGCTGTTGATACAATTATGGGCATGTATATGGGACTAAAGCCGAGCTGCTTTATAAAGAGTCGTGGATACTCAGGCACAGTCACTCCATATGCATTCGCAAGCTTCCCTGGCGATCATCTACAATACAATGGAAATTCTTTTGTTAATAAGGTTGTTGTAAGCTCAATTGAGACAAATCATTCGAAATCTAGGAATTAAATATCATTTAATCAAACTCTTCTTGACCAAATCGTATCGTTTCTAATGTCCCATCTTCGGTGCTTAAAACCACAACCTCATGATGAACCCTGAATCTGGGCACTGTAAAAAACAGTGTTCCCTCGGAATCCGATCGTTTACTGGCAAATCCAGGCGCATCACCACAACAAACGTACTCCATCCTGCTCCTGATTACAAATGGGTCCAGTCCACAAAAAGGCGCACATGTTAAAGTATCAGGTGCCGTTGGACAAATATGTCCTGCCTTCATAAGGACTTCCATTGCACGTATTGTATTTGAAGTATGCTGTGCATCAGAGTCTTGCTTTTCAGTGCATACCACATGCTTCAACTCACTCTCATTCACATGCATCTTGTATTCAAATCCTTCTCCTTGTACGCTTCCAATATCTCGAGGCATATACTTGAGAAAATCATCAATAATAAACTGTGTAATCACCAGTCCTTCTCTTCCGTTCATATTCGTCCTGCATGGATTAGGCAGACATTCTACTTCTGCATTAATTAGCTTTGGATGAACAGGCATCAGCGGTAGTACTCTTGCTCCAAAGTCACCCTTATTTGGAATCAAACGAACCTTTGTTCCAGTATACTTCACAACATCTGTAAGACTTAACAGCATCTTATTATCAATCTCGCTCTTACTTTCAAAAAAGTTTCCTATCAAAAAATACTCTTTCACTCCACCTCGTCTCAGATAATCAATTATCACTTTCATCCTTGCCACGCTGCCATCAGCATTCGCTAGAACCCCACTTGAAAAGCAGATCTTTCCATTTGTTTCATTCTTCTCAGGAATCTCAGGAATTCTTCTTGGACTCGAAAACGGAAATACAAAGTCCTCTGCAATAAATCTTCCTGATTCAGATTGCCTTCCTATCACTCCAACACACATCCCCGTACTTATAATAAAATGTTTCTTATACATCTCCGTATTATTTTGTAACTCAATCTCAATCCTACCACTTCCATCCTCAAGAAAATATCTCACATCACTCGAATAATACGTAAACTTCCGTACTTCCTCAGCATCCTTATTCTGTCTTCTAATCATGTCAAAAATACTACTCTTTAGATCACTGGATATATACAGCGTTCCAATCACCACACATTCATCTCCATTCAATCCCTCTACTTCTAAAATACTATCAAGTATCCTTCTCCTTCCCTGATCCACACTCGACTTTGCTATATCTACCCGTAGCTCATTAATCCTTGCATCATATATCTTGTTGAACTGGCTTTCATAGCTCACTTTCATTTACATGGCCATGCTCAACCACACTTTTTATTCCACATCTATATCTTGCTATTCTGCACCATTCATCTTTCAAAGTGGATGTAAAGCTCGTCAACACTCTCATACACCTCGTTCAGCACAGGCATATCAAACGGGAAAAAATACAAACAGTCATAGTCATAACTGCGGAAAACCTTGCACTCATACCCATAAATCTCACAGAACATCTTCACCACATTCTTGTTCATGCATCCAACCAACCCTGAAGAAAACATCCAGGTAATCTCATCTCTTGCTTCACACACAATCCTCTTCATAAAGCATGACATGTATAAGAGACACTGACATGCCACTACCACATGAATGCTTGCATTCCTCTTCAGTCCCCTTACATAATTCACATACTCATCAACAATGCACTTCTTAATCTCCTCATCAAACTTACATCTTACTGCAAGCGACGATAAATACGGAATAAATACAGTTGGGTTTTCATCCACCAACTCAAACAAAAATTTAAAAACACTCAAAGGCTTAACACTACATACTCTAAACAAAAGAAACTGCACATTCAATGTCTTCGATGCAAGCGGCTTCCTAAACGCATCCAGTATCTCTTCAGTCTCAAACTCGTAGACCACCCTTTCGAGACGCTCATAGGCAAACAAAAAAACTCTAACCGCCTCTCTCAGCTTTGCATGCTCCCCCTCAATCGGCGTATCATACTCAGACAAAACCTCGTCCCATTCATCTTGTTCCAGAATCCCGTGCATCACACTGATGTATGCATCCAGTCGCGTCAGCTCCTTAACAAGACTCAAAAGCACAGGTTTTGTCAAAAGTCTGTCCTCTGCATATCCCACCATTCGATCAACCGCAGTCAAGTCAATCGCGCCTCTCTTCAGTTCTTCAAGAAACTCCAGTCTTTCCCTGTACGTTAGTGCCATGGGCATTAAAAAAACTGCATTTTTCTTAACTCATTCCCTCCTTCATTTAAAAAACTTTCCTCTCAAAAATAACATCAACATCACATCGCTTTATTAATACTCGTCATCCATGAATTAAAACATTTCCATGCTTACCTTCAAACCATCATAATATTTCTTATGTTTTTCTAGATTCTGCCTTGCTCTATAGCACAGCATCCTAAACTCCTCAAACACCATAGAAAACGAATCAATCAGAGGGATCGATATCTTCTCCAACAGGTTTATATCTTCATGTATCTCGTTCACTCCTCTTGAATATCGTTCCACATCCCATACCTCAGACCAAAATAACTCAGAGTTCTTATCAAAAATCACATAGTCTTTATAGCATGCGCTCAGGTCTGCTAGCTTCATGATCATCTTAAGCTCTATCTCTCCCACCTCTCTTCTCTTGCCATTCCTGATCCTTCCTTCTTCTCCATTGACAATATACTTCAGATCAAACTCATCAATCACTTCCTTATTCATTCTCAGATCAGTTGCAAATATTAGCCTTCGCACAAGCTTAACACACTCATCAGTATCTGCTCCTTTCATCTCTCCAAATAGCTCCTTCTTGTATTCATTAACCACCCTGTTGCTAATTGTTGCATGAATCTCCTCAAATGACATTGTCTCTTCTCCACATCCGTATGCATTGCAGAGCATCCCAATCCCATTCCTACTTGGCTCTCCAGGATGTCCAATATCATGCAGGCACAAAGATATCATAAAACAAGTTCTTTGCCATATGCATGTTTCATCTCTCTTCTCAATCTCCCTTAACATAAACCCTCCAAAACACAATGTGTTAACCAGGTGGTCAATATTGTGATACATTTGTGGCAGCGAGTACAGCAATGCTGATCCAAAAAACTCATCGAGCACTTTCTCTTCAATACTAACCCGCCTATCACTCATTATCATCTTCCTTCCGAGCATTATCCCCGTACTTAAAGTTACCTTATCTGCATGAAACAAATAATGTGAAAACTCATCAATGGTATTTGATTTGCTCATCTGATGTTTAACTACATCTGCTCTGTTCAAAACTATTTCTGCCGCCACATCGCATACACTTCCTACTTCTTCATCAATCACATACATTACAAAGCACTTTCCAGGGTTTCTGTGCCTTTCATTTGTGTGAATCCGTTATTTGTTGCATATTCCGTTATTAACAAATACTTAATCTATCCTATATATAGCATGTATCAGATACGAATGATTATCATGAATACATGTTAGGTACACGCAGTCATTAATAAATATCAGATACACAAATAATTAATGCATATCAGATACACACAATCATCACACATTATATTAACAATCAACAGATTTACACTTACTTATACAGCAGAAAAACTGAAGTTCTTGTGCTCATTCATAACAACAGACATTCCAAACATGCTTTTGAAAACTTGGACTGCAATAATGTAATCTGGAGTTTCCAAGTCAACCTTCAGGCAAATATTCTTTGTTATCACATCAAAGACCCTTTTCTTCACTCCTTCACTGCACATCCTCTCTTCATACACAATCTTATAGCTCTTTCCATCCTCCAGTCCCTGTATTCCCTCAATAATCTTTGCATCATCAATCCGGAAAATCCTCTCAAGTGGAATTACACGATGCACATATTCAAATATTGTATTCGTTTCTCTGAGTTTATTAAACAGCGATACAGATGACTCATGGCTTTTATTTTCAATAACAAGAATGCATCTGTGCTCCATTAGCTTGACAAACTTCGAGTGATTCTTATACTCTTCTATTTCATCCTGTAACTGCTCTTCAAGTCTACATACTTTGTGCATCCTTACAGATGATTCTATCAGTATCTGTAGCTTCCTTGTGATTTCCCTAAGTCCTTTCTGCTCTTTGTTCTGACGGCACGATACAAAAAATCCTTTCTTCATGGGTCTGTTGTCTCCACATACGTATCTCTGGTATGTATCCCTGCAATAATGGACAAGCCTGACTGGAAGAATGTCAGGATAGTTAAACATACAGCTGAGATTCTTGGTTCAAAGGAAAGTCTGTATACAAAACAGCCTGGGAGTATCAGTGCAGAGAGCAGAGACTTGTTGTATCTTCATCTTGTGTCTCAGAGCCAATCCAGAAAGACAGTGGTCGGACTGTTTGGATATGGATCTGCTGGAAAAACAACGCTTGTTAAGGCATTTGGCAAAGAATGCAGTATTCGTGGAGCATCCGTGCATATCCATACAGAAACACTGTATGAGAAGGAAAGAGAAGCTACACTACATGTACATCCGATGGTTGCATTCTTATCAGGGAAGCACACTCCATCACACGTGCTGACGCTTATAGACACATCAGGCCATGCAGACATGTTATCTCAAACCATTCAGACGATTGAGTGTGTTGACATTGCAATTGTACTGATTGATATAACAGGGCATCTGTCTTTGTGTCACAGGATTATTCTCGATGCTATCAGAACAAGCAAAAAGCCATCTTTTGTGATTCTAAACAAATTTGATGTTATAGTGAATGATGTCAGCCTTGTAGAGAAGATGACAAATGATTTTATAAATTCAATTTGTAGTGTTTTAGAGCCAACTGCATTCCTTATTGCATCATTTAAGAGTGGCTGGATTAGATTAGTTGATAAATCATTCAATAGTATTTTCAACCAAATACCTGATAGAGTTGAAAAACATGTGCAAAATGATCTAATTGATATACTCGTAGATATCATATCTAAATCAGCGAGTAACAGCATAAAACAAACGGATTTGATGAGCATATTGGGATTCATACTGCTTGATAATGTTGTCTTGTGTAGTATTGTTCCAAATGAAGATACGTGTGTTGGATCGTTAATCACTGTCAATGATAAGGAGATGAGAATTGAGAGTATTTATATTCCTGTGTGTGGTTGTTTGATTGAAACTGATAGGATTGCAAGTGGAATAGGTGTTCTGGTCAGGTTTGATCAAGATGAAGTGTTGAATATGAACACTGAGTATGTGAAACCTGAGTATCTGATCAAAAGCATCACAAGGCTACTTGAAACAGAATTATATGGTCTAAGCTTTCTTGATGTGTTAAAGCCACTAAGAATGGCTGAATGCGTAGATGGAGTTATCAGGGTAAAATTATCTGTTGATGACCAAGGAGAGTTTGAAAGTGGAGTAAAGAAGCTGAAGTTGGTGTATTGTGGGTTAGTACATCATGCAAATGTTCTTGGAGGTCCTGGAGAGGCATTTATGGATGCTGTGTTACATGATCTGAGAGTCATGCTGGAGATCAAGTTTGAAGTTGTTGCTGTGTTCTGTGCTTTGAAGGAAGTTGTTGTGAATGAATTTGAGATGAACGCAGGTGAAAGAGATACAACAGCTCAAGCAAAGATATATATGAATGAAGAATCTGAGATTAATCTATATACAGGCAATCAAATATTTGTGAATATTGAATCTGTGAATGGAAAGTTTACTAATTCATCTATAGAACGATTACATAATAATTGTAATGAAAAGGATTACTTGAGTGCTCAGCATTTAAGTGAAAAGCTACTGAATGGCATGCTTGATACAGTTCAAAATGGCATAAAGGTTTTGGAACCAACATACTTGATGGAGATAGTATACATGGAAGATGCAAATGAGTTGGTATGTGAAATGATCTGCATGTCTAAAGCACAGGTAATACATGAAAGCATACTTTTACACAATGGAATGAAAATCAAAATGTGCCTGGTTCCAGTTTCTGAGTGCTTTGGATTTGAGAGCGATCTTAGGTGCTATTCTTGCTGCTTAGCAAACTGTACAATGATCCCATTCTGTTGGAATGTCTTGAATGATACAGCAAGACTAGACACATATATAAAATGTATGGATACAATCAATAGTATGCATAAATAGTAATGAATTGATTATATTGATGCTTTATAGAATTCAATCATTACTAGTCATGTATTGTAAACCTTACCATGTTATATAAAGTCAAGAATACAAAAAATAAAATAGTTAAGAAAGCAAAATTATCAAAACATCTTTACTTAATACCAGCTAGTTTCTGATTCCATTCTCAAGTACTGTGGCTCTATAGCTCTCGTAAATCTCGCTTGCAGTGTAGTCTATCAGACCGTTGATGTGTGTGCTAAGTAATAGCTCTCTGAGTGCAGCAACATCACAATGCAGCGCATTGTCTATGCTTATATCTCCCCACATGCAGCTTTTCATTCTGAGCTCAGGAGTTGCTTTGTTTGTTGATATAGTGAGGAAAGGAATCAGTCTGTTAAGATCATTCGCTACTGATGGAGTAGGACATAGATCAGGATCGTCCAGATCAAATATTTCAATGTCATAGTACTTCATTTGCTCAACTATCCTCTCCTTCATCTCAGCCCTTTCAAGAATGCTTAGTCCGTCAGCTTTACTGATCACCGGAATGATATTCACAAGCCCTGAAACCTTTTTCAAAAACACTATGTCTTTATTCTTCAATCCCGAGGATGTCGATGGAATAAAGTATAGCATACAATGCACCCGTGTGTCCTCATACTTTGGATTCCTTCGGATTTTAGACTCCTCTGCAATGAACATGTCAAGTTGTGCTTTGATGAAGTCGCATATGGTTTCTTGAAGTCCAGAGTCATTAAGTGTCTCTCCAAATCCCGGCATGTCTATCAAAGTCACTCTTTGAGAGACTCCTTCGCAATCAAGGTTCAGCATGTACAAGTCAATCTCTTCCTGCTTCTTTGATGAAATTATCTGCTTTCCAATCAGAGTGTTGAAGAACGACGACTTTCCAGATCCCCTTTCTCCTACTGCCATCAGTGTGAATCTTCTGTTCTGTTTCTTTACAATCATCTTGTTTGTTTACTGCAAGAACAAATTTATATCTTATCATAATATACTCTCAGAACCTACTTATACACATCAACATATTATTCTATTCATGGAATACAGATTTAAAATGCACATTCAAAAAACTACATGCATCAATTGCATCTTTTATGTGTGTTTTAAATTTGCTGAAAGACGTTGCTCCATGCAGTGCAAGATAAACAACCTCTTCTGAGTTTATTAGATACACAATCGTTAAAACAAGGTGCTGAATTCCATCTTCTGTAGAAGACAGATCGATACAGTCCTCAGATGCAGTACATGAATAGCATAAGTCAATCATTGAAAATCCAAAGTATGACAGGAATAATGTGATGCAATTAACCATCGCTGAAAGCAATGATCCACCTTCTTCTCTTACAACAACTCTAAGTCCAAGTCCAGAATCAACCAATACAACACGGTTGAATATGTCGACAAGAATACTCTCGTACTCTTGCACCTTCTTCTCAGTAACAGTCTCTTGTCTTGAAACACACAGAAACTCAACCACAATATTCAACTTCTTCCCTTCCTTGGAATTTCCACACTCCACAGATACTTGTGTATTTCCTTGTCGTAGATCCACTCTTCCAGAATCTCCAAATACGCTTTTGGTTACTTCTATTCTTCGAAACTCTTTTTGCTTCCTTCCATCCTCTCTGAATCCACCCTCTGAAACAAGCATGGATGGTAATATCATCCGTAATTTGTATTTTCATCGCATGAATTACAGGTAAACGATTAATTATACATTCCCTTCGTGCATGAGTCAACATTATGATATGTGCAAAAAAGTCACAGATACTAAATGCATCAAAGGTATCATCAACATATCAAGAAATCTCGAAATTCCACAGAAAACAGCATATTTTGCACTAGGAATCTACTACAAACACGCTCTTGATTCAAATTGCATGAAAATAACAGCTGCAGGAGCCGCATGTATAATGCTAGCTGGAAAAATCAATGGATCACCAAGAACCCTTGAACAGATCCTAAGGGCTAGCCACAGGTACTATGGAATCAACTCAGAAAATATGTTTAAGCAAGACTACGAAGATGCCATAGAAATCGAATTGCATGCATGCATTCTGATCGACTTTGACTTTAGCACAAATGACCCATATAAGCTTCTAGAGGTATTCTGTGCAGAATATCACATTCCTAAGCAGAAAGCACTCATTATATGGACTATACTGAATGATTCGGCATGTATTCCTCTTCAATCAGCATTCTCATCCAGAACGATACTTATGACTTGTATATTTGTTTCAGAACTCATACAAGGCCACCCCATGGATATTTCTTCATTCAAGCAAAAATTCGGGCTTAGCGACATCCAAGATACAGAAATCAATTTTATTTCTGAAGAGATCGTTTCAATGTATGAGACACTATTATAGGCACTAATTATTACAAATCACTCATAAAATTCAAAGTCTTGCTAAAACAATATAGAGCAGAATGCCAAATGCTACTTTTTGTCACAATCTAGCACTGAGATTAAATAGAATACAGTTTTTGTACATCCTATATTCACAATCAATCCTTACTGCAGCTATCAACCCATGCAGAGTACACATCTATTCCTGTTGTGAGTTTATCTATGTCGCACATAAAACTTGCCTCGCATACTGAGCACCGAGCAATTCCCTTCATCTGCATCTTCTTGATCACACATTGTACAACATTCTCGTGGCTGCACATTGGACAGTTGAACTGCCTTTCAAGCTTGGTCTGCTTTCTGGGCATGTTGACTTTTCTTCGCACCTTCTTCCTGCCCATCCTGCCAATACAAGGGATGCCTTGTAATTCAATTAAGCACATCTAAGTCGATCTACACGCCCTCCATGCAAATCTTAACAGATGAGGAAAGCGATATAGAAGTGCTTGAGCTTCAAGGGGACGTCGAAAATATGGATGCATTTGACGGACACTTTAACAAAGATCTTGTACAGCTTGAGTTTCCTACATTCATATTGCAAGGAAGAAAGATTCACAAAGAGCTAAGCATTCTTCAAAGAGACGTTGTCAACAGCATTCCCTGCATAAAGTTAGTGAGAAAGCTTAAGACAGTTTATCTGTTTGATAAGCCACCAAGATATAGGAGGTCCATTCCAAACGGCAAAAAACAAATAAGAGATTGATCCTAGGCATACTTACATACTATGCAATCTTTGTCTTTTTCAAGAAGCATCTTATTGATCACTAGTTTGTCCTCACTGCTGTAGAATATAAAGTCATAAGCTGTCTCTGGTGAGCACAACATTCTATACACTAAGCTTGCACAGATAGAGTTAATAAAACATACATTTGGCATTATGTTATCGTACATCCCAACAACTTCAAACTCATTCGTGTTCAACTCGTTCGGTGAAATCGCATTGAAAGCATCAATTATTTTCATAACAGTACTTTTCTTATTGAAATATCTCATGTCATCTAAAGTCATATCTCTGTCCATTTCCACCATCGATCTCAGCACTGCATTTCGATTTTCAGGCGTAATGTGCACAGGCAAAGACTTCATTGTGCAAATTCCAGGGTTATTGATTTCATACAGATCCTTAATGCAATACAAGCATGCCAATCCTCTGCGCACCATCTTTACATGCGCCTTGTATCCGCTAATTCCACAATCTATCAACATTTTGCATTCAGACCTCATAAACATCAGGTTCAGATCCATTCGTGTAGCCACATTATCCACCGCACAAACCAAGACATCATATTGATTTATTATGCAAATATCTACATCCTGTATCCTTTGTGTCACAAACTCAACTTCTTCTCCATGCATCTCGTTGATCACTTCTGCTACTCTCTGAGATTTGTATCTACCCTCGTCTGTTCTCTTAAACATACAAGACCTGTGCAGGTTGCTCAGTGTAATCCGGTCATCATCCACAACCAACAATCGGTTGCCCTTTCCTGCGAGCAGCTTCAAAAGCTCAATGCCTGTTCCTCCACATCCTTTAAATTAAAGTTATCACATACCTACTACAACAACCCTCATCATCAAAATCCACAGCTCTGGATTTTTAAACTAGGCGATCAAATAAATCTGAATAAGTAAAGTAGATCTAAGCTAACCCAAATAAATAAATCTAAGTTAAACTAGGCAAGTGAGTAAAATAGATCCAAATTAATCCGATTAAGTAAATCAAGTTAGATCTAAGTTAAGTAATTAAAGTAGATCTAAGTAAAACTAAGCCAAACTGTGTCAAGTAATTTCTTTTAACTCAGGATACATCTGCATCACATTCTCCTGTGCTTCAATCAAAATCAAAGCTTGCAGTACAACAAGCATCTCCTCATATCTAACTGCATATCTCAACCCTGCTTCATACACTGCTTTGCTATCCTTATCATTCTTACTCAGAAGAACTCCTCCTAGATACACATACGGCTTGAAATACCGCTCATCCAACTTAATTGCTGCTCTAAAGTTTTTTTCTGCCACATCAACACTTCCCTGTGCTTGAAGTACAACGCCTTTCAATAGAAACGTTCTAGGATCTGCTCCATACATGCTCTCCATCTCTAGAAGTATATTCGCTATCCTTTCAAAATCCTCATTCTTCAGGTAGAATTCGCACCCAATCGATAATATAAGAATGCTTGAACCGTGCCTTCTCAATCCTTCCTCAACGGCATTGCCTGCTGCCTCCGTCCTTCCTCTTCCAACCTCATACACTATTCTGTCTACATACAAAAAATCATAGTCACAAACATTCATTGCTTGGCTAATCAAGTTCTCATATTTTTCATTGTCCTTCATGCACAAATATGTCTTAGCTGCATAAAATAAAACTCCTACACTCCTATTGTTTTGAGATACAAAGTCATCGATATCCATCGGGACAAGTCCATGAACAGCCTTCAGATACTCTCGTAATCCAACAGAATATATCATCTTCTCATCCTCAAGTAATGAAATCGCTGCTGCATCTTTACCCTCGGCATACTTCGATAATGCTGTAACAAACTTCGATAATGAGTCGCTCCTATCCTCAGCCATCACAATTGCATCCTCATATCTTCCCTTTCGCACCAGTTCAACCAATTCATCACTCACAAGCGATCCACTTCCAAAAAGATCAGGAAATGTGCCAAAAAATCCTTCATACACAATCCTAGATACTCGTCCCTCAAATCCTCCTATTATTTTCTTTACTTCTACATCAGCTTCGTTCTTTAACATCTCTTGTGCTTGCTTTCTGTATCTTTCATCTTTAGTCATCAATCCACACACAAAAATATCATATAATGCTTGTCGCTTCATCCCAAGCACTTTATGACATTCATATTTTAATCTCAATGCCCTTTCATTGTTCAATACATTCAAATCCAGCGATTTATTTGCATAAACAAGTGCTTCCTTATATGCCTTAATCCTTACAAAACATATTGCTAGATTGTTATAAATATCAACTAATGCATTATCTTTCGTCTCCAATAGCTCTAAACTGCGTAGATAGCAAACAATCGCTTCTCCATACATCTTATCCTTCATACACATAAACCCCTTGTTAACATACTCCTCTAATCTTTCCTTTTTTCTTCTGCTTCGCTCTCTTGCCTTCAATCCTTGATATACAAGCATCAATCCAGAAACCACAGTAACTGCAAGAAGCGCAGTTGTTTGCCTCTTCATTACCGGGATTCATTTTTTCCTTAATTTACTTCTATCGCTATACCTTATTCAATGCACTCAAACATACTACAACACTATCATTCAATCATCATGGCTCCATTCATATAATTACACACTTCCAATCATCATAGCTCCATTCATATAATTATACACTTCCAACCGTATGCTTCTGTACATCTCTTTCTTCAGTTCTATAGATCTCGTTATACTTCGATAAAAATCTCGATTCAGTTCCTCTTAATGCTACTTTCAGTTCTGCTCTTTGCTCATCATTTGCTTCAAACACAAATTCCAGAATTCCATTCTTCATCTCATCAATATGTTTCTCAGGTACTGTTTCCTTATGCTTGTATATTGCAGATAGCAACAGTGTATAGTATTTATTCTCAATATATGCCGATAACTCTTCAAAAGTGCCGCACTTTCCAAGAATCATGGCTCTTAATGCCAAAGACACATACACTGCTTCTAATTCATGGAAGTTCTTGTGTACACCTTGCTCTGCAACAACACATCCGATCAGGTATACGCCAATCATCCTCAGTAACTCATCAGATATTTGTGCATCTTTCATAAGAATAACATGCAGAAATGACAGGATGCTTGGATCAAAACATACAAACCCATCATTGAGCTTCATCATCAGAAATTCTACAAACAAACGCATTCCTTCATTACATTCAGCGCATACATAGTCTGATATCATACATCTAAGTCTTACAAGGCGCTGGTCGTTGCTTTTAGTATCCATCAGAAACAAATCTCGAAGGACACTCCACTTTCTTTCTGTATGTATCTGTTCAAATGATTTCATAAACAGATATCCTGATGCCAACAGTAACTCAGGAAATGCCTTAATCGATCCTATAAACAAGGATATGTAAGATATATGCTCGACATTCGCAAAGAATGTATTGTCAAACACAAGTGGTAGGCACTCGTGCTGATTTCCAGGATGGCAGGCAAACACAATCAAGTCGTCCCAATGCATCTGAGCCTTCAAATGGCCAAGAACCTCAAATATCTTTGAAGGATGTCTGGCATTAACTATATCGTTATAGAACACAACCCTATCAAGCTCAAAATCGTCTCCTATTGTCTTACATGCATAAAGTGTTTGCATGCTTTTATACTTTGCACAAAGAAACCTATCTTTTATGTGGCTCAGTTCATGCATTGCCAAATAGTTCATCTGTGGAACGCTGATATCATGGAGGATGGGATATGCATATGAAAACTCAGCAGTCTGTCCGATAGCATGATGAATCGCTGGCAATATCTCAAGTGCACATATTGCAGCAAAAACTTCTTCATAGGTATTTGGCATTTTTGTAGCGAATACATTCAGACCAAATACGATGGTTTTCAACATTCCCTTGAGCACCAGCTTTGATTCTTTATCCATATCAAGCCCAGCAAGCAAATGGATCGTTGAAAGCACTTCATCGGCATCATGTTCGTTTATGAATGCAAAGCTCATGCAATTGGTGACAATTCCTGAGAGATATGTCAGGAGAGATATGATGTATGTGTGTTTCTGTGATACTGATTGTGGAATATAAACAATAACTGCCTTAAGTGCAATGCAACATGCTACAAGATTCTTATCGATGATGTTGTCTGTTGCATAAACAGTCAGTCTCTTAAATATAGGCAGTAGGCGTTTGAAGCACATTGATTGATTATCAAGAAGCAGCATTGTAAGCCCAATTTCTTTGTGACTGAATCTGCAGCTGAATATTCGCTTTATGATTGATTTATACAGGTTATATGTCTGACTGTATCCAAAGTGTTTTCTATAATACTCAAGATCTATAGAAGATAAATTGAGCTCGGACATGCAGCATACAAAGTCTTCGATATCACCAGGAATTATTGATCTTTTGACAAAGTCAGCCATTGCAATACTGAATTCGATATGAAATATTGTTTGTGAGCGATTGTACTGTTTGAAAAAGCTTTTAAGCTGATCTAGAATTTCTTTGGATCCTTGAACTGGCTCAAGAGGGATGTTTGTAAGTAAGAAGTACTTGATGTAAACGTCATGAATTGAGAGTATGTCTGTGACTGATGGAGAGCTTGTATGTAAAGCGGTGTCTATTATTGACTTTACACTATTGTGTGTGTAGAAATCCATGTCGTGCCTTACTGTCATGAGATACTGTGCATTGCTGAATTTAAATAGTAGAGCACCAATGGAAACCGACGAATGTGTGCAACAAGATGTTTCACAGATTCGGTAGAGTGGTTTATAGATACATAAGTTGAACTTTCACAGATTCAGTGGAGTGTTTTATCGATATGAGTTGAACTGTGCAATCTATTTGTATCAATGTGAATATCAATTGAAAGCATGATTGCCCTTGGATGGCGGTTAACAGGCTTAGTAAGAGTAAGGATAAATTGTTAGAGAAGAAAATATACAAATCAGCACTTCTTGAAACAGTCGAAGTTTTGAACAAGAAGGCGGACGAAAAAGACTTGAGTAACAAAAAGAAACGCAAAGCAACTGATGAAGATGCATCGGGTGAAAACGGCGTGCCGTGGATTATTAAAAAGCCAAAGACCGATCCATATAAGACAACAGCAAACAAACAGAGAAGAAATCAAGAAGCAAAGGAAATGCGTATTCAAAAGAGAAAAAACAAGCAGGAGTCTAAGAATTCTGAAAGTGTCGAAAGCGAAGAACATTCAAGAAAAACAAGAAAAGAAAGGAAGCAAGAAAAGATAAATGGAAGAGGCAATGGAATATCATCCAAAGAGTACTATGAAAAGTTTGTGAAGAAATCAAGCGGCATAAGCATTCAGAATTCACACAAATCCAATAAAAATCAAAACTCAGATTCAAATAATGAGAAATTCAACAGAGATGGATTTGCTTCCAAACGCAAAACAGACTTTCCAACCAATACCAAAGGGCGTCATGGATCAAAATCAAACGATAAAAAAAGAAGCATAAATCATAAAAAGAGGAGAGAATATTAGTGACCTTATCTTCAGTAGTTTATTCCTGGAATTAAATCTGCCTTGGGCTTTTTTCTATCTATAATGATTGATTTGGTTCTTGATAGTTGAATATCATCCTCCATATCTGGTTTTACAATGCAGCAGTATATTCTGTTTACATTATCCATTATGCATATGTCTAGGCTTTCCACCACTCCAAAGTACATGCATGGTCTACCTTCAACCCAGATCTTCAGCCGTGCCTCTGTACATGCATTCTCTGTAAGCACACCGATTGAAAACCTGATTGGCATTTTATCGTTCACTTCAACAACCGAAGGCACAGAAAGGATATATCTTGATGCTTGGATTGAGCCAATATCCAAAGACTGAATATATCTCTTCATTGCATTGATATCGCTTGCCATAGATATGTTGAACTCCGATAGGCCAAACAGATACGGAATTCTTCTCAGTATTCTACAGCCATTTCCATTCATAAGTTCACTCATTCCCTTGTAGATATAGAAAATAAGCCAAGCTTTCTTTCCTTGTCTAAGCATATCTTTGAACAGCTGGTTATACATCCTCTCCGTTCTTAGTTTTCTCTTTTGCTTACTATTACTTTGAATGCCTGCATCAGCATGCATATTCAACTCCTTCTCTGTAATAAACTGGCAAAGAATGTCCTTACAAAACTGATAGTTTTCATAAACGGTCTTTGGTAACTTACTTTCCATCATCTCAACAAACAAGAAATGATCAGAAATGTCTCTACTGAGATCAATTTTATATCCTGATTTGCACAACTCTCTCAAAACAACAAGTCTTGTGATATAATACGGATCTTCTAGTGAACACTCTACTCTGGCAATCGGCGTACGAACATAAAACTTCGTAAGATCTGCAAAAAATACTCTTGAATTCCTAGAAGCTATCTTCTTCATCACATGATGCACCTCATTTGGTTTTATCCCATCCTTCATGCGTAGCATTAAAATATCATATATTATTGTGTTTTCATATCTCAGGTTTGAAAGCAAACTCAAAATGTTTAGTTTGATTCTATCACTCCTTTCCCTTAGTCCTTCAGATATTTGCACGACTATTTCTTCATCAACCATCAACTCATACTTTTTGCTAAGCATTACCAGATACTCAGTACAAACCACCCTTAGATCCTCATCATCATCGTTCAACGAGTCAACCAGGAATTCAAATGCTTGAGACACAGTTCCATGTGTAGTAAGCTTATAAACAGCTCGTACAGTGTTTCTACGCACATCAGAGTATTCGTCTTCAATCCCATAAACAAGAGCTCCGCTCACATCCTCGCTTCCTTCCTCAGCTTGTTTAGTCATCATTTGTTTCATTGTTTGCTCATCAATCCACCTGAACTCTCCTATTGCCTTTGATGCAAATTCTCTCAGATAATGCTCTCTATCTCTCATAGAGCTGCAAATCACCTTAAGTATCTTCATCTTGTGCTCTTCAATGTTTGCAAACTCCACAAGACGCTTTAGTGCTGCAAATCGCACCCCCACATTCTCATCCTTTGCCTGTTTAACTAATGATCTCACAGAAACCGCTCTGCCCTGAAGCAAATATGCCTCTCTAACTATATGACACGGGTCATTTTGCATCATCATCACATCATCTTCAGTAAACCATCTTTGATGCATAAATAATGCAATCTTCCTGACTTTAGAACTTTTGTGTACCAGCAGCTTTCTAATCTCATCCACATTGAAACAAAGCTTGTCAATGACATTCTCAAGATACACAACAACATGATGATCATTGCATTCATCATTACAATCATCTGAAAAGTACCTTTCCAAGGACTTCACATTTCCATTAGCTATATCATTTACCATTTCACTCAACACCTTGCACTCTATAAACTCATGCTCATCAAATATCTGTAGGCCTGGTAGCATGGGCAAATGCATAATTCCACAAAACATGTAAAAACCACCGGCAAGTCTATCCCATGAACAATCCTGCTCAAGTAAAGGACTTGTGTGCAAAAGTCAAGGAAGACATTTCATTCAGTAAAGAGGTTCGTGGGTTTAATTTTGAAAACGGATGCACTCTTGAAGCACTCATTGCTTCATTTGAAACCACGGGCTTCCAGGGATCTAGCCTTTACAAGGCGATCAAGGAGGTTGAGAAGATGAAGAATGCAAAGATTTTTTTTGGATGCACAAGTAACATCATCAGCTCTGGGCTCAGAGACATCATAGCAACATTGATAAAGCACAAGTGCTTCAATGTGATGGTTACAACAGGTGGAGGGATAGAGGAAGATCTGATCAAGACGTTTAAGCCAACATTCTGTGCTGATTTTGGACTTGATGGGGAGCAGCTAAGAGAGAATGGAATCAATAGAATAGGTAATCTTGTCATACCAAGCAAGAATTATGAGGATTTTGAAGCATGGATTAGCAAGATTATAGACGATCTGACTGAGGGATATTCAGAACAGAACCCGCGGATTCTTACACCTTCTGCATTCATAAAGATACTCGGGGAAAGGATAGCAGACGAGTCATCTGTGCTGTACTGGGCAGCAAAGAACGAAATTCCGGTATTTTCGCCGGCAATCACTGATGGATCGATCGGAGACATTATAACGTTCCATAAGAGAAGATCTATGCTAAAGCTTGACATTATTGAGGACATATATCTCATGAACTGTCATGGTATGACATCTCAGGAGACAGGTGCTATTATTCTGGGATGTGGCCTTGTTAAGCATCACATCCTGAATGCAAATCTGTTTAAAGATGGCCTTGATTATTGTGTGCTAATTAATAATGCACAGGAATTTGATGGAAGCGATGCAGGAGCTAGTCTTGAAGAGGCCGTTAGTTGGGGGAAAGTCAAGCCAGGAAACAGGGGTATAAAGGTATTTGGAGACGCCACTGTGTTATTCCCATTGCTGGTCTCTGCAACATTCATGAAAAACCAAGTCATGGTACAACAGCCAGTAAACTCTGAAAAGTGATTCAGTAGAGTGAGCTGCTATAGATGCAATAAGCAAAAACTCTATGAAAGCAAGATAATAAACCTTCTTATTATATTTTTGGAAGTAACTTGATTTATTGATATTCAGTTTATTGAAGTAAAGATATTCAGTTTTGGCTTCATTCAAGTAAATATATTCAGTTTATTGAAGTAAAGATGTTCAATTTAAGTTTTTATTTCTTCCACTTCGTATTCAAGACCTAGATCTGTGCCATATCCACATGGATGTATAGTGATTTCCTTGCATTCAATGCTTGTATCGATATCTGTAGGACTTTCAGTGGCACTCTTCATTCCCTTACAGCACAGAAAACATTCCATAGAACTGGTTTTGCTTGCCTTAGGCTTCAATAACACAACCTCTTCATAGAATTTTCCAAAATGATTCACTACATATGGCGTGTAAATGCCTTTGAAACATTTCACAACCAGAGACGATCCATGTTTTGATATCTTCATGCACATACAAAGTGTAGAAATAAGCAGCTCAGATTGTAAATATTCATCAATTTCATGCAAACCAGTTATCTCAGGCGCACCATCACATATAACAACATCCGCCTTCCTTCCTCCAAGACACTGCAGAATTTTCTCTGCACATCCATACGACGTTATGTCTTCTTTTATGCAAGCAACTCCATCAATTGGTGCAATATCTTGAACATCAACACAGACAACATGTTGCTGCGCACTTCCTAAAGCTTCATTCCCATGCATGCTCTTCATCCTTTCAGATGCATACTGGCTCCAGCTTCCAGGTGCTGCACACAAGTCCACCACATTACTGGCTCCTTTGAATATATCATAAGCTGCATCAATGTGCATGAGTTTGTATACGCTTCGTGCTCTATATCCATGCTTTTTAGAAAGCCTATAATACAGATCTCTCTTCTCGTTGCTTTCCATCAAAGACACTCAAAATACATAAGCATAAATAATTCACAATTCATGCACATGACTAGTTTGCTAAGAACATACATTCAATGGATATAAGTCTACATTGGGATGAATACACAATTCTTGTAGTTCTTGTAGCAACCCTGCACAAATGTTTGGCATCATGACAATTGCATACGGAGCGCTTTTTCTTCTGAATGCGGTGGTAATTCTGGATGACCGGAGGTTTCTGTCAAGAGTCGGACTTCCACTGTCTTCAGATGCAAGACATACTCTTGGCTCTAGCCGTAAAAAGATGGTCGAGCTGGTCAGAGCAATAAAGACCGTGACAAAGATCCCGTTAATTATACTGAACACACTTTGCATAACATACGAGATCTTCCTTGGATAGAATACATAAGGCAAAAGCTTTATTCACAAGTGCTCGCTTAGATCATAGTCTATGTCAAGTGAGTCCTCTTTCGCATTATCGCGCTCTTGGGATGCTGCTTGTATACTGTTTCTGAATAAATCGTTTGAATCCAATGCCTTTTCATTGATCTTGTTTATGCGCTGCACTTCCTTGATGTATGCTTTGTCATAGCAACAGTTTCCCAGCGAATTGCCAAACTGTCTCATTGCCCTCTTCAATGCATCTGTTGCTGCTTCTTTCTTTGCCTTTTCATAAGCAACCACCTTACTTCTTTGCCCTTCAGAGCTTCCAAACCCCACATCTTCCCTATATGAACCATCTTTCAGCGTGATCCTCACCACACATGAAACACCAAGAGACACTCTTGTGTCCTCTAAAGTCTCGCAATCCACAGAGATACTTCGTATTTCAGAAGACCATCCATTAAATCCAAATATCCTGTTTGCAAGACTGATTGCTGTCCATCCCTCAATGTATGCAACCTTTGCTGAGTTGAATCCAGGGCGGTAACTTATGAATTCGGGCCCAAGCTTCTTCTTCAACAACTTCGATATCCTTGCTGCCTCTTCCTTCGAAAATCCCCTAAGCTGTTTGCCCTCATGCATATCTTCTATCATTGAACAACCCCTTAAAAGACATGCATTTCCAAAACAAGAATAAATAAATGTTTTCACTGCAAGGGGTAACAATGAGAGCAGATCCACTCGTGAGTGCTTTGAGAGCAGATAAGAGCACTGCAAAGCCATTCTACACAGCAATTCCACAGGGAATGATGCTAAACAAGAGCTTTGACATGAACACACTTGGAATGACATTCTTCCAGCGCACATTGTGCTTTTTGGTATGCTTGGGTTCAGGAATGCTTTCTTTCCTATACAGCATGATCAAAATACTGCGATTCTCACCTTCTGGATTCATAATTCCATACACAGTGTCCAACGTGCTGTTTTTTGCAATGTTTGGATTTCTTCTTGGATTTAAGTCGTACTTCAAGAACTTATTTTCAAAGAAGAAGCGTGCATACACATCATGGTTTATTTGGTCGACTGTGATGACGCTGTACATGGTGCTGAAGTACAATACCTACGTGCTCAACCTGATATTCTGCCTTGCACAGGTGATATCATTCCTTATGTTTTCCTTGACTTTTATTCCTGGAGGTGTAGACGGCATATCCACAATGTTTAGCATGCTTTTCAACAAGAAATAAATATTTTCTGGAATATTCATCTTATCTTCAATCCAACTGTAATAAGTAGAGATCTTTCGGTAAATCCAATCACAATTCTTAATAAAAGATCATGCATAGAAATTTATGAAAAATCCATAATAATAGAGTTGTATCACTCATGAATATCCTATACAAATCATGCATCATATGAGACGAGCTATTAGGCAAATTTTATACAAATCATGTATCATATAATAAAATTGTATCACTAAGCATAAATGTCCTATATAAATCATGCATCACATAATAATTTGGTTGAACTAGTAAGCAAATCTTATATAAAAGATCCAAACACACAAAGAAACAACTATTTACTTGATAACTCGTCATTTACTTGACAAAAACGAAAATCCTACAGAAAGCAAAACAATAAGTAATGCAACCGCTACCTGAGGCAGTGAAGATGCCGGTACAAACTTCGCAAGTATATGAAGTACAAACACAATTCCAATGAATATAAGCGAAATCATAATCGTCTGTACCGGTGAGATACAAAGTCTTGATACATGGCTGTTCAGTAACTTTCCAAGTTTATTCTGCCTGTTTCTGTATTGTTGTATCTGGTTTGTTGATGGTGTTGATCTAGACATTTACAGGGATAAATAATCATTCCATTTATTTGCTAGCATAAACATCCTGGCAAGCTACAGCCAGTTCTGTAACATGGCCTCTAAAAGTCCATATCAAATCCAAATTGCAACCTCTGCACTTGTTCATTATCTGTTAATGGGATTGCAAAGCTTGTCTTTATAACAGGCCCATCCTTCGACCTCATCACAGGTACACTTATACCAACTCCTACTGATGCTCCAAGACATTCATTGTTCTTGGTCAGGTATGCTTGTCTGTCAATCAAAAGATCACGTACAACTCCCTTACCCTCAGAAACACATCCGAGAGACCCAAACATATAGGCCTTTGCACCTCCAACACATAGGCCAATCCTCTGTGCTATCTCTATAAATGAACCTCCCCCGATCTTGAGTCCTGATGTGCTTGGCGATATACTCATTGCCTTGTATCCTCCGACTCCTTCTCCAAGGTAATATCTTTCAGCGATGTGAGGCTCTCCAAAAATCGTCCCCATTGATGCATTCATGTCCATAAATACATTCCTTGTCAGCAGTTTGCTTGCACACATGCCAATCTGACCTTTCACAAACATCCTGCATGGCTTTGAATCAAATACTCCAGCCTTTGCTTTAATCTCAAGCATTGACATCTTCTTACGAATCTCCAGAAATGTTTGATCTAAATATCCTATTCTTTCTCTTCCCACTGACACACTCTGATTATCACTCTCAAGTTCTACACTTGCTCTGATATGTGGGTAGTCTTCATGTGGAGATGCCATTGTGCTTGCAATCCCAAAGATATTCAGAAATCCTAATGAGCCAGAAATAAAAGGCTTCGAGAACTTGATGTCTATGTCTCGGGCAGTAGATACAGAAACATCAAGATTCTCAGCACGTCCAAATAAATTCGGCAACCTCATATTGAAGTATCCCTTTGGAACACGTCCTGTTGTATCTCCACTGAATCCAATGCTTCTTTTTTCTTCAGATACCACAAGTCCACCATCTGCATGAGCAACTGTTGAAAATATCCTCAATTTCCTGAGCCTGTTGGCTACACTCTCAATTGCATCTCCTTCAGACATCCTCAGGATCTTTGTAATAAACGTCTCGTCCGTTTTACCAATTCCAGTTATTTTGAACATTCAAGACTTGGGGATCACAAAAGACAGAAATACTATTTAATACTATTTGTGTGTTGCTGCCTAGATCACAAGCAATGGCATAGGCTTCACAATTTATATCTTGACTTCAGTCTTGCAGAAAAGGACATCTTCAACTATTCCAACATACGGAGTGTAGCACCCACGCAGCTCAAACGTGGGATCATCCGTCAGGTTACCCACAACCTCATATGTGCTTCTAAACACTTTTGTAAGCTCCTTCTTTTCACTTTGCCTCTCAAAGATCCTGCTCCAAATAATTTCTGCTCGGTCACTTCGCCCTCCATACACAGCCCGTACATACACAAAAATCTGCTTCAGATTAAAGTGCAATTGCGAAGATAGATCTATCTTCGGCTCAAAAAACACCACCTGCGATCTTCCATGCGATTTATACTCAATAATCTTCAGTGATGACTCCGGCAAGCTCTTTGGCACCATATATGAAAACACAAACACTCCAAGAAGCAACACAATCGTGGGATTAAATGCATATGATGCTAGTGCTGCAAGCCTCTTACTTGCTGTCTTCATGAGGGCCTTAAAAAAACAATTAATATGCTTGTATATTCAATGCATCCTCAAAGCTGCATAATCGTAGTGGCTGTCACATGCACTCATGAATATCATCCTATACTGCAAACCCTCTATGAATGAATTTGCACACAAGCTCCTAAATCTTGAGGTTCTTCCGGAGCACGACGTCATGCTGATTTGCACCAAGGTGTCTGAAATCCTGATATCAGAGCCAAATGTACCCTCTGTGCATTCGCCAGTAACAATCTGCGGAGACATTCACGGTCAGTTTTTTGATTTGGTAAGTATGCTGTGCATAGATGGGATGCCTTCGCAGAGGAAGTACGTTTTTCTTGGTGATTATGTTGACCGAGGCAAAAACTCAGTTGAATGCATTCTCTTTCTGTTTGTGCTAAAGATCCTATATCCAGGCAGTATTCATTTGATACGGGGTAACCATGAACAGGCAGCCATTAACCGGGTGTATGGCTTTTATGATGAGGTAATTGAGAAATACGGTTGTAGCAGGGTATGGAGAATAATAAACGAAGTCTTTTGCTTGATGAATGTTGGGTGTCTAGTTGATGGACGGGTACTATGCGTGCATGGTGGAATCTCTCCAAAGATCACCTCCATCAACCAAATGAAAAGGATTGATAGAATGGCGCCGATTTCAGACTGCAGTGAGTTTTCAGACATTATGTGGGGAGATCCATACGATGGTAGAGGGTTTCAACCAAGCCCACGAGGAAGCGGGTATTTGTATGGAAGTGATGTTGTGTGCAGGTTTCTTGAACTTAACAATCTTGTTAGTATTATAAGGTCCCATCAGCTTGTAATAGAAGGATATAAATTCCACTTTGATGAAAGAAATGTGATAACTGTGTGGAGTGCTCCAAACTACTTAGGAAAGTGTGGAAATCCTGCAAGCATTCTTCGGATTGATCAGGATTTGGATCTTTCAGACAAGGACTTCTGTATATTCAAGGCCACGCCTCAGAAGCGAGAGTTTCTTAAAGTGCCTGATGGATTTGGCATTTGAATGGAAAGCAAACATGTGCCTACAAATAATTGCTTCTGTGCATTTTGATTCAATTCATCAATGCTTACATTCAATTGATGTTTGATTAACAAATGCATGAACTAATATTTATATTTGACTCTTTGCAAAATATCCCATGTATGAATTATCATCATCTGAGTGGATTAGATTGAAAACAGCTGAAGAGGAGCGTTCAGTTGAACTAATGGATGGGTATGCAATAAGAACATTGAAACAAGACATAAAACAATACCTGAGATTTCTAGAGTACAGAAGCATTCCACTCCATCTCAAAAGAATCAAAGCCTCTGGAACCATGCTTCTAGTATTGGTTGATTTAATAGATGGCCATGATCCAATTGAGAATGTTAGAAAGATTGTTTGCCAGATGGTTAAAAATGGATTTGGAGGTGATTGTGCATGTCCAGACAAACTTATTGAGATAGTGTGTGTTCCCAAGTTCCAGCCAATAACCAATGAGCAATACCACAGAAGTGCATTGGTATGGCCATGTAATAAACTCAATAAAGCCAAAGAAAGTTTGGATACCGTATACATCCAAGCAATGATGGATGCATTAAGTATGCAGCATTATAATACAGATGTAAAGTGTAGTAAGGTATGCTTGATAGCAAATGGATGTGATAGTGTCTGTATTCATTGTGATACAGATGATATTCTTGGCCATTCTATATTTAAGGCGGTTGATGAAGTTAGTAAATCACAGCTATCTTATCTTTGCACAGGTCTTGATGTGTTTTTGCTCAACGAGCCTTGTTTGTCATGTTCTATGGCTCTTGTACATGGGCGTATAAGAAGAGTGTTCTTTGTAAATCAGAATGCAAATGGCCCATTCTCCCTTCTTAAGATGAACTATAACAAAAACCTTAATCACAGATATCCTGTGTACTTCATGTCACGGCCAGAATAAAACAAAAACGTATTTGTGAACACTAAAAATATTCAGATGCTTTAATGAACCTCATCAACTATCTCCGCCTTATTAGCGCCATAGAACACTCTCTTCTCCTCACTCGTCTGGAACCTTCCGTGTCCAATCTTAGATGACGTGTCAACAAACTTGATCACCACTTCCTCTCCCTTCTTCTGCTCATGCAGGCTCTTCCTGAGCGTCACTACCCTCTTCGTAGGTCCCATCACTGCTCCCTTCACCATAATATAATCATTTCGCACTACTCCATAGTGTGGGAACCCTCCCATAGGCGTTATTGGCTTGCGTGTCAGGTCATACTCAGTTTGTATCTCCTCCTTTCCATTACCAATCATGTACACCTTCTTGTTCACCTCAGTCCTTCTATGGAATCCCATCTGCCCTGCCCTTGCCACTGAATACATCACTCTGCTTGGGTGCCATGCTCCAATACATGCAACCTTTCTTATTCCCTTTCGTGACTTCCTTGGCTGAATTCGTACCCCAAACCTTTTCACTGTTCCTTGGAATCCCTTTCCCTTCGTTACTCCAACCGCATCAATATTCTCATTCACTCCAAATACTTCTGCAATTCTTATCTCCTTCTCAAGTCTACTCATCGCCCATTCAATCTTCTCACTCATGCTTCCTCCATTCACCTGCATCTCTGCTATGTGTGCTTTCTTCAGATTCAGTCCCTTCACTAACACTGGCTGTGTCTCCACAAGCACCCTGATACTACATGCCTTCTTCTTCATCTCCTCTACTCGTCGTTGCATCTCTTCAGCATTGTATCCGCCCGCAACCTTCTTTCCAATCTCTTCATATCCATATCCAAACATCCTTCTTAGTGCTCCTTCGCTCAGATGTGCTGCATAAACTGGTTGCATTCTCTTCATTCCTTGTGCTGTCTCCTCGTATCCAACAACTCCGTGTACAACCATTGGTGGTGCCTCAAGAACCGTAACTGCTTCCATAAGCTCCTTAGTCACCTGCTTGTTCTTGGTCACAAGCTCCTTAGTCCTTACCACGTGAGTCATTCCACACTTGTACACCATGAATCCTGTCAGGTGCACTGCCTTTTGTGCATTGTCCTTTGGAAACGCACCTATTGACGGTCTGATTGTTGATGAACGCTTTCTTGGGCAGAACTGCAACGACCCATGTCTTGGCGCACTGAACTTTCTACAGCTCATTGATAGAGGGCACGAAAAATTTGCATTAATGAGGTAGGCGAGTGTGGAGTATGCCTGTAGATATAGATATGGGTATGAACGAGTGTAGGTGGGTATGAATATTAACGAGTGTAGGTGGATAATAGGTATGTATAATATGTTGATGTATATAGAATAAGTGAATATATAAGTGAATGCATAGATAATATATAAGTGAATGTACAAACACCAGAGAGTCAATGTATAGGTTAATGCACAATCATCAAAGAATACAAGTCAATTGACAAACACCAAAGAATACAGTCAATTCACAATCATCTGAGAATATACTAAATAGATACAATCTCAAATGCACATAATAAGAAAGTTGTCAAAGAATTAGCATGCATAACATTTGATTTTAATACGATTTTATTGCCCTATTATGTCATCTCGCTTTGAGCCAGAATACGAAGCATATTTCAAAAGAGACGTTGTGCCAACAGATTATAATGATGAAGTCAACGACTATCCTGTATACGATGAAATAGACATGAAGGACTTTGAGTATAGTAGCGCAAATAGAACATTCTATTATCCATGTCCTTGTGGCGACAGATTTGAGATTTCACTCGATGACTTGAGAAATGGAGAGATAATAGCAAGATGCCCGTCATGCTCTCTGCTTATACGAATAGTTTACGAGTCTGATGACTTGCAAGCCTATGAGTAATGCCTGTGCAACTATGTTATGCATTTAGTGTAATAAATATAATGAATATATTAGTCTATAGTATTGGAAGACTTGCGCAACAGATAATTTGTCATCCTTGGGTTTAAGCTGTGTACTGAGGAACCCAGACCATGGCAAAGAAGCAGCAAGAGGTTAAGCAGAAATCATCGAAGGACATAAAGAAAGAGTTGGAAGAAAAAGCATTTGGACTTAAAAACAAGAAACAAAAGGCAGCGATTATGAAGCAGTTAGAAAGCCTCAATCTCAAAGAGCGGCTTGAGAAGAAGGAAAAGATGAAAAAAGAAGAAATGAAAGCTTATGTCAAACAGGTGATTCCAATAGGTGTAGATCCAAAGACAATTCAGTGCATAAACTTTCTTAACAAAATATGCCCGGATGGAGACGATTGCAAGTTTGCACATGAGGTGGTCAAAAAAGTAGAGAAACAGAGCACAGAAGTGGTGGCTGAAAAAGCAAAAAGTATATGCAGGTTTCTTATAGATGCATTACACTCTGGAGAATACAAAAGCGATTGGAAATGCCCGTTTCCAGAGTGCAATGATGTCCATAGACTTGTTGAGATGAAAGAGGATGTACAAGTTGAGCTTACTCTTGAGGAGTACATTGAGTTTTCCAGGCAGTCTCTTCCTGCAGAGCTGACTCCATTGACTGAAGAGCGATTTAAGGAGTGGAAGATTAAGAAGCAGAATGAGGAGAAGGAGCATGCTAGACGAGTGAAGGCGCTTTCAACCGGAGTTCTTGGAATAGAGCTGTTTCAAACACGACGAGATCTGTTTAAGGACGATGAGGAGGCAGGCGAGGAGGACTATGCAGAGAGGTGTTACTCGGACTCTGATGAGAGTGATGTGCAGTCTCATGTTGAATAAATGCTTTTCTTATTTGTTTATCACGTAGTCATTGAGTTTGCACAGGGTCATGATTTTCTCCCGCCAATACCTGAGAAAGTTTTTAAGTAACAGAGAGCCTGAAAACCGATGAAAAGGGTGTTTGAAGACATCACAAATGTGAGTCGAAAGAACATTAAACTGACGATACACAAGTCGGAACACAGGAGGAAACTCTTGAGATGGCTCTATGAGGTTGTTAATGACTTTGAGTACTCGCAGGTAACTTTTTCCATTGCTGTGCTTATTTTAGACAGGTATGTAGAGATGTGCGGACTTGATCTTACAAAGTACCAACTGGTTGGTATTTCTGCGCTCTTTTTGGGCGCCAAACTAGAAGAGAAGCACCTTAGGACGGTGGATGATTATGTGCTTGTTACGAGCGATTCGTTTCTAAAGCAGGAGATCCTTGACAAAGAGGTGGAAATGCTCAAGGTTCTTGAGTTTGACATGATCATGAAGCTTCCACATTGTCTTCTCAGAGAGGCACAAATTGAAAAGATGTCGGAGAGATATAGCATGAAGCAAAGACAGGAGATATTTTTCTGTGCATTTTCATATTTAATAGAGAAAAACAGCTGTAAATGGAATGCACTGCAACTGTATACTAAAGGGATCCATGAGGCATCTAACCTGCTTGCTGGATATGAGGCTGACATCGACTTCAAGTTTTATCTTGAAAACAATAGAATAATTAAAGGCATATTTATGTATTCATTATATCGATTGTTTGATATCTAAAGTAAAATATCTTTAAATAATTGCTCTTGAGGAGTGTAAGCGCTATTTTTTGCAGATTGTGTAACCTTGAATACTTCGTCATGAATCTCCTGCTGCATTTCTTGAAGTTGGTTTTCTGAGTAGAATTGAAGAAGTTTGTTTCCTACTTCTATAACGCAGTCTTTTGCCTTTGCAGATTGTATTTCATTGTTTTTACGATAGTAATCTTTTGTATCTGCGGTTGAGTGAGTGCAAAGTCTGTGAGTATCTATTTGCACGATGATAGGACCGTTGTTTAAAGCGTATGCTCTAGCATACTGCATGACGGAGAGGATCGCAAATGTTGAGCCATGGGTAACTCTAATCCCTGGAACCTGATTGCCTCTACGGAAGAATTCTGAATCTGCACTGGCGCTTTCTGAAGGAGTCCACATGCCATATCCGTTGTTTTCGCATACAAATACAACAGGAAGTTTCCAAATAAACGCCATGTTCATGGATTCCCACACCTGACCTTGGTTTGCAGCGCCATCTCCGTAAAATGCATAACAAACCTTATGGGTACTTGACTTCTGGAATGTATCATACTTCAGTGCATATGCTATTCCTAATCCGAGTGAGACCTGAGCACCTACGATTCCATGCCCACCGAAGAAATTTTTGTTGTAGAGATGCATAGAACCACCTTTTCCCTTACAGATGCCAGCTTCTCTTCCAAGCACCTCGCTCATTATTTCAGGTATGGTGCATCCTGTGACATATGCAATGCCATGGCATCTATATGACGAGATAACCATGTCGTCTTTACTGGCTTTTTCTAAAGCAGCGTATATCGCCTCCTGTCCTATTGAAAGATGGCAAAATCCTCGAATGAGCCCATTTTTGTAATCTTCAATCATCTGCTCCTCCATGTATCTGATTCTGAGTATTTGCTTGTACATGTGCACAACTTCATCAACATGGAGGCTTTCGATGGAATTAATGCTAGACTTTTCTATAAGATGTGTTTGTATATGACTCATAGATTCTTGTGGATCTGCATGAACATATTTTGCATCATCCATGTGTTTTGATGAGTAAAGCAATATGTTTACCACATGAAGCAGATGTTTTAAATGCCATAGCATTGCATTAGATGATTGTTTTCATGCCTGGTTCATGATTGAATAAGGTTAGATGAACCCCATGAGTAGTCGGGAGATATTGAGTGTGGTTGATCTGATTGACACTGTGTTGAAAAGTTTTCCACGTAGAAGAATGCATAAAGAACGAACAAACTCGTATATTCCAAAAGAGCTTGCAATGCGACTAAAAGGTGAAGTACTGAGAAACACGGTTCCGTTTCTTGTAGGTCTTGTTGAGAGAGTGAAGCAAGTACAGAAATCATATGGCAAGGAGTACGCTAAGCAGATGGCAGAAAGAAGAGAATTCGTACAGGCCCGCATAAAAGAGATAAGGATGTCGATGGATGCAATGATGGATGACGAGAAAACAAGCATGATCAAGAGCTTGATAAGCGAAGTGGAATATTATGAGAAGATGGACATGAAGCCAGTGAGCAAAGTGACAGTTGATGCAGAAACAACAAAGATGGTTTTTATAAAGATAGAAGGCATTGATGCAGGTGCTACGGATCCTTATGTCAAGGAGTACCTGTCAAGACGGATTTTGTTTAGTCAATTGGAGCCTTCAGATGCAGAGATTTCGACATTAAAGACGATGATTGATATGCTAGAGGATGAGTGCAATAACTGAATTAATGTTTGACATTCAAATAAAACTACTAAGATGTTGTAACTGAATTAATGATTTGGCATGCAAATAAAATGATTGGGAATAAGCAGAAGGTTAAATACCAATGAAGTTTAATACAATTCACGATCACATACAGATTCTTCAACTGTTTAGGGCATTGGATGCCGATGCAGACAGAACACGCCTGTTTCGTAATGATACAGTGTTCATTCCAACTCTGTTCTTCTCGACGAAGCTTGGTGGCTTTGGAAGAGCATGCTCTATACTGATGCAGAGTGCGATTCTTGCGAGTAGGATGTTAAGAAGGTTGAGGAGTACTGATGGGATAGATATTATCAGGTAGTAATAGCGAATGTCGTTGATAGTGCTCATGATCTGTGCAGTGCATGTTTTTTGATTTGAGCATTCAAGGTAGTGGAGGATGATGTTTTCTGCCTGTGCTATGTTATATGCAACGCCCAAGGCCTTTGAGACATCGCTCTGGTAGCTAATCTTAACGTAAAGAATGATGCCTGACATGCCAATGAGCAGAAGAACTCCCACAAGAAGATATAGCCTCATGTACAGTCGAACCTTACTGTTGATCCCACAGCTTGCAAATAATCCAAGTGTTATGTTAACCATTGATGTTGTTTTGAATATGGTAAGTATGCTGAGCGTGGTTTTGAGGCACTGTCCTTCTACTGATACATATAACATGTACGGAACCAGTAGAAACGGAAGAGGAATGTTTATGACTATCAGTAGCACCGAGCACAGCTGGTTGAGTGCTCTCACGTTTCTGAATGCTGTTGTAGTCATTCTCAGCTGCGAAATGAATCTTTTTAAAAGGTAAGACCACCAATTAGATTTTCAGGGTGTGTTAAGGAGATTCAGAGTTTTTGTGGTGGGAATAAAGGGTGTGTATGACATAGATCTTGATTGGCTGTATATTTATGCTTTGACCATGAAACTGATGAAATTAATAAATCCATGTTATGCTGAGATAATAATACATTGAAAGTGCATCCCTATGTGTATTGTTGTTATTTTGTATGCAATCGGTGTGTTTTGTAAGAACTATGCGATTCTATTGAATTCGTCTCGAGGATTTCATAATTACAGGCAGATGGCGAATGTGTATATTTTTGACCATATATTGCGACAAAATGGATATGAAGGAGACCAAATTGCGATTATTTCGTATGTGAACCAGATTCAGGACATAAGAAATGTAGATAAGGAGCATGTGCATATTGATAGCGATTTAAAGATTCAGTATTCTGATTTTGATGTTACTGATGATGCGCTGAGGGTGATGTTGAATGCGCTTGAAGGCAACCATCCCAAGCTTAAGGATGCTGATGAGTCATCGAATGTTCTGATATACATGAATGGGCATGGAAACGAGTCATTCCTGAAGTTTGGGAGCATACACTTTATGACGAAGGATGATTTGATGTGCAGGGTTGTGAAGTTAGCATCTAGGGTAGGCAAAGTTTTGTTATTGGTTGATACATGTCAGGCAGATGCACTTATAGACAGAGATGTTTTGCCATCGAATGTTTTCGCAATTGCCACAAGTAAGATCAAGCAATCGGCAATTTCGACATTTGAGTCTTCTGTGCTTTTTACTAATACCGTGGACAATTTCTCGTATTTTTTCTTTATGAGGGCACAGAGGGGAATTGGACGAGATGACAAGCTTATTGATGTGTTTAGTGATTTGAGCAAGGAGCCTATACAATCTGAACTTGTATTCAGTAACAATCCTATGTTTAATTACGGAGATTTTTTTTTCCAGAATTTGATGTTTGAGCTGCTTCCTTTCAAATGACATGGAGATTGTATTTATGCAATAAAATTAATGATGGATTTATATTTGCTGCGGTACATGGAGTTGTTTGTGTTCTGAATGAGTTTAATAAAGAGTGATGTTTAAGGTACTGCTTTCATTTTATGTATTAGTGTGAATGTCCCTAATGGTTGTAAGAAGAAAGAGAATAAAGAAAGGGGAGGAATGCAAGGAGAATTGGGATGAATATAGCATTGTTAATGAAGGTGATTGGAGTTCTGCAGTGACCAAGAGTATGAGTGAGCTTGCTTGGAAGTCTTTTGATGAAGAGGAGATGATGCCGAAAGGGGATTTAGATACTAAAGGAGTAATGGATGAAGTGAAAGAAGCAGAAGATGGAGAAAGTTTTCAGAAAAGACTTATAGATGGATTGAAGGAGTCTGTAGCTAGGAACATCATAAAGGTTGATAGAGAGGAGGATCGGTGCAAGAGCAATGAAGAACCATTAAATATTTCGAAGCAACGATATGAAGAGTATGTAAAAAAGAAGAACGAGCATAAAGATAGTTTGTGTTCAAAGACTGATAGAATGGACAAGTGCAATTATGAGGAAACTTATACAAGAACCGAAAGTGATTTGAGAATGATCATCAAGAATCAGCAAGAGGAACTAAACAAGAGGGAAGCGATTATAAATAGTTTGAATCGAAAGGTTTCGGAGCTTACCTCAAATATGGAGATTGAGGGAAAGAAATATGCCTTACAATGCATTTGTAGGGGAGAGGAGTTGCTGAAGGCAATTGAAAATGATATAGAATGTGAAAAACAGATGCTAGTTAAAAGGATTAATGAAGGAGTAGAAAATTCGAAGGTATTGCAAAAAAAGGTTGAAGATTTGAAGAAGATTGTGAATGAGTTAGTGAAGAAGATAAAAAAGAAAAGGAATCTAAGTGAGCAGGAGGAATGATGAATTGGTAAGATCAATGAGAATAACCCCTAAATGTTTGACTCTGAATATTTCAAGAATCTTTTGAACGAGACAACAGCACTTATTAGCAACAAAACAGAAGGTACGTATTCTGATGATGTAGAGATTCAGATTGAAAGCAACATTATGGCACTTAAACATTTAGCAAATGAAATATCTGACAAAGAAGTTCAAAGCAAGATGTTGAAAAGAATAGATATGCTTTGTGCCGAGCCAGCAGAGTTTGAGGTGAGCGAGGTTCATCAGCGAATTACAGGAGTTAATAAAAGCAATGAGTATTCCGATAGGATAGAAAAGGATATTCTGAAGTATTCTAGACAGCTCCATGGCAAAGCAAAGAAATTTCTTGATAGTGTAAGACTTGATGGAAATGTGCTTGATGAAGTGACAGATAAGATGACTAAGAATCTTGCGGGGACCAGTTCTGCACTGAGGTTTATGAAAACTGAGCAGTCTAGCAATATTTCTGTATTCCGGATTCTCATTTCTGCATTGGTTATATTTGTTATTATGTATTTTATAATAAGATTTCTTTAGAATGAAGAAGTGCATAAACAGTTCTTTGGAATAAAGGAATTTTACTTAAAGATAGTTCAAAGTGTTTATTATGACGAATTAAGTAAATGGATTTATATGTCATCATTAATCTCTTCCTTATTTCTTTTTCTCTCGATGAATATTTCTTTGCCTGTCATGCTAGTCTTTTCGATCTTAGGTCTTATTATTTTTTGCTTCCACGCAAGAAAGTCCTGTTCTGTGATTCTTTCGTTGTCATTAATGTCATAGCTGATTACAAGTTTACCTGTGTCCACTATTATGCTACTTTCGTCCAATTTCTGGAATACAAGCCTGATTATGTCGAAGATCATCGGCGTTGATAAGTATTTCTGGGCCTGACTTAATGACCAATCCAGGACATCCCGCTCAATATTTGAAAAGACATCTGGAGGTGTATTGGGATACTCCTTCCTGCATATAAATTCAAAATAGTTTTCTCGCACTGATATGCAGTACACTAGACAATCTTCTTCGAAGTGATGCTTCATGTTATTTTCAAATATGCATTTTAGAGCTTGAAGCTCATCCATTCAAGGGTAATAATATAATTACAGCAATTATTTTGAATTATCAATCAACAGCAAGGCTTTGCATAGCCATTTATGGTTCAACAAATATGTTTATTTACCATTATTGCATTGTTGGAGTTGGATATTGTGTTGTTGTGATTATCCCTAATATGTTTGCGCTTCTTTTTGCAGGACATGTGCTTGCAAGCAAAGGCGATGACAATCTGGTTGATAACGAAGGAAGCATTAACTGGGGAGTTGCCATTAGAACAGCTTTGCATAAAACACAGGACAGAACTGAAAATGCCTTGATTTTGCTGTTTATAGGGCTTTTTATAAACTTTGCTGGAATACGTATGAAGAAATTGTCGTTTTTTGCGATATTTTTCTGCACTATATGGGTTGGAATTGATACTCTAAGGAATTACAATGATATGATACTTAAAATCAGATATAAAGGTCTGTTTAAAAACGCAACAACTCTGTTCAAGTTGTGCAGCAAGGTTGTGGATATGATTTCAAACAACATTGTTTTTACGTTGTTTTTGTCACTGGTATCAGGAGTGATGTTTTTGTATGTTTTCAAAATTGTTGCATATCTAATGATACTTTATCTTGGGATCTGCGCATGGAACAATATTGGAAGCATAGAAGACACATCATCATCTGTAGTTGTGTACTATGCAGTGCAGATAGCACTTTTGATCTTTGGAATAATAGGGATGTCGTTTGTTGATCCTATTGCAGTACTAATGTGCACTATTGTGTTTTCGATCTTCGGATCTGTGCTAATCATTCTTGGATTGAAGTTTGGATTGGGAGTCGATCTTGATATAGAAGAATTTGTCAAAATGTTCGCTCTTGAGGATGCAAAGATTGGAGATAATGAGATTCACTACTTGAAGTTTTTATACGCTATACTAGTAATACTGGGTATTATTAATCAAATATTTTTCCGAAAGAAAAAGGCTTGATCTATATGGAAGCGTAAAATAAAGCGTTTGTTTTATGTTAATTATTTAGTTAGTTTTGCTTAGGCTGGTGGATAGAAACATCCAAAAAGAAGTGCATAGATAATCCCGAACCCAAAGAAGAACCTGAACAGCAGTCTCCGTAGGAATTTGTTCTGGATTGTGTTGTACTTTTCAGCCAGTATCCAGTAGATCAGCGGATTGAATGAAATGAACCTAAAGTACATATTCCAATGAATTAGAAACACAGCAATCAGAGTCTGTGCAAATAATATAATGGCCATTAGGCGAGTATTACGTTTATGTAAACTGTTCTTCTGAAGCCCGACGACGGTTTTGTTGGCATCTAGTCTGCCATTCCAATACTCAACGAGTATGTATATTGAAATTGCCAAGAATGGAATTCCAAGAATGATGTTTGGAATGTTGTTGCTGGTAAAGAACTTGAACAGTCCCTGATCCCAATACATTTTTTGGACATATGAATACGGTACAAATATTCTATATGTATTTTTTGCGTTGTTAATAATTAGAAGCGAGTAATACTGGAATGCAGCTAACGGAAGCAGAAAGAACGCGGTTCTCATTATAGAAAACACATTCAAGGGAAATAGTACAAATGGAGCAAATAAAACTGCATTTGACCTACACAATCCACACAATGAAAGCATCACTGTTCCATGTAACGAGCTGTTTTCTTCCAGGAAGTATATTCCAAGAAGAAAGGCCAGCATAAATAATGACTCTGAATACATTGCTGTATATACGATTGATGCAGGATTGAATATAAACAAAACAGCACTAATTTTTGCAATAGTTGGACCGTATCGTTTGAGTGTTATTTTGTATAGAATACCTGAGCTCGAAATTGTTGCTAAGCAGGAAACGAGCACACCTGTGGTGTATGGCTCTATTCTCAATATTTTATTAACTGTGCGCGATACATAAGGAAGGAAAGGAAAGAATGCAGTTTCGTGTATCTTTGCATATCCATTTTTCATTATTTCAAGGAAGTGGACAGCGTCCCATGATAGCAAAAACTTCATGCAAGAGTTTGTTTGAACAAGTGCCGTGGACTTATCGAAGGGAGGAATCAAAATGGATGCGATGCATGAAATCGATATGTAAAACACACGAGAAAGACAAGCTAACCTTAGCACGTCTTTCAGGTCCTTGGCAATAAACATTCCTATAAGGGCAGTGTTAATTATCATTTGTTTATTTGCAGGTAAATTTTAGGATGCAGCAGCCCCAATGTTTGCGTTTGTTCTTTTTACCTTGAGATGCTTGTGCACAGAGCATTTATTTATGCAAGAGTCATCGTTGCTAACGCCTTATGTTGATGGAGTGGGTAGTTTTGCGAATTGGAATGCGTTTGGTGAGTCTGTAGTTAAGATAAATGGTAAGAGCACGTTTATTCAGCTTGGATTTTCATCACCAGATAGTTCTGGAGCAATAGTGTCTTCTCAGCCAATAAAGCAAGATAGGTTCTGCATTGATTTTGTTATAGAGATTGCGAATCAAGAGAATAATGGCAATGATGGAGAGGAGGGAATGTCCATTTGGATGTCTGGAGAGAGTACATTTGAGGAGGGTGCTTGTTATGGTCGGTCATGCAATTTTAATGGGATTCTTGTTGCAATCAAGCCATCTGGTAAATCTTATATTGGTGTAAAGGCCGGAGATGTGCATGCAAACACACAGAATGCCGACAGATCATTTGATAAGGTGGTTTACAGAGATTTTGTACCTGGTGATGTTTTTATTGTGCGTATTGAGCAGGACGATCAGCTTACGGTTTACATAGGAGAGTCAAATAATCTTGTGCCAGTGCATGGCTATAAGGCACTTGCTAGTAAAAAAGACAATTTTATTGGCGTTTCTGCATATACAGGCAAATACCCTTCATCCATGAGAATTATTGGGATTGAATCATATAAGCTCAAGAATTTCAAACGCCTTGTACGAGATGAGTCTCAAAGAGGAGGTAGTCTTGTGTGGATTCTTTTCTTCATAGTGATAGGTGTAACGGGATATTATCTTTACTCGATACAAATTAAAAAGAAGTAAATTTGTGTTGTATCATGTTGTATGAATGTACAGTTTATGTTATTATCGTATGGTTTGACTTTCAATAGTCTTCAGTCTCATCGATAGTTGAATAAAAATTGAACATTTCTTTATTATTATTTGTTTATTTATGAGATCGTTGCATTTATTGATCAGATATAACGAATTTACGAACAATGCATTTAAATAAAGCGATATAAATATAACAATATATCAGCCACATATTATAGAATATATGTAATAATAAATAAACGGATATTAGCCAATCATTGTTGACAACGATATAATAGCTATCAAGAAAAAAATATATACCGTATACAATGCATAATTGATTTATAAAATGTATTAATAAATAGCCCCATTGAAAATGAATAATGAGGAAAAATTCTATACTACGTCTAAGGATAATAAAACATTATCATTAGATATTGACAAGGCTCTTAATGAAGGAAAGATTAAAAAATATGAGTATGGAGATAAAAATGAGAAAGATTTATTTGAGGTTTACTTAAACGGAACATTTGAAGATTACGAAGCAATTAAAAAGTCAAATGGAGACAAGACAATACTGTTAATGGGTGCAAGAAGCATGCAGAAGGATTCTTTGGTAAACTTTTTTATTAATCGCTTATATGATATCAGAATAAACTCTTCTAAACAATATGAAATACCATTAAGAAACTCGTCAACTAGTAGATTAATGATAAAAGAAAATAAAATAGTTTCTTATGTGTATATTTCAAATGATAAAAAAACAGCAACCAGAATTATTGACATGCCAAATTATCTACCAAAAACAACAGGCTTTCCAATAGGCTATGATCCTAACTATAATGCTATGAACAATACTCAAAATTTTCTTATAAGTGAGCATGTGAATAAAGTTCATCTCATTTGCTTTGTAGCATCATGCCTATACTTAAAAGAAAAAGAACTGAATCCTAAAATAAGTGAAATGGTTTATAACTTCGATGATGACATAAAAAACAATATGTTCATGATATTTATGTCTACTAGCAGTATTGGACCAAAAGAATCAGAAGAGTTATCGGATAAATATAAAAAATACATGCCATTCATTAATAGTACTGAAAAAGTGCATAAAATTAGCAGTTCAATTTTAAATAGGCAGTCAGATAGAAGTAATGAGAAACAAGTAGTAGAGGCAGAATCTCTTACTAGTAATTTTATAAACAAGCTGAATAGTATAGAACCTATATCGCTTTCCAAAACAAAAATGCATGCTGAAAAAATAAAAGAATATACAAAAGATTATAGAGATAAATCAGGGGAATTTAATTACCAAATTGAAATTTGCTTGAATAAAAAATTATATCATAACAAAAATATTAAAGAAGATATCGAAAGGATCAGAATGAAAGAGGGGAAAGAATTAGACGAAGTAGTTAAAAGAAAGCCAGATAACTGCCCTTTGCTTGTAGAAAATACAAATGATTATTTAAAAAGATTATTAATTGCATGCAAAGACAAGCCTCGTGAATTAAGAATTTTAGAAGATGATATTATTCCGGTTTTTGAGGATAAAAATAATCAATTACAAGATATACCGATCAATCCACATGAATTTTTAAATCCAATTGTATCTTTTGATAATCAACAAATTCTGAAATTTTTACAAAGTCTTTATCAATCAATTTGGAAATTATATGAAAAAGAAAGAAATGAGAGAATACAAGACGTAAACAATCTAATTAATAATTTATCTATACTTTTTGAAAACCAATCGAAAGTTGTTGACCAAGCTAATGCAATTAGAACACTATCTACTGAAAATGAAAAACAAATAAATGAAAATGAAAAACAAATAAATGAAATTAAAAAACAAATATTATCAGAAATACAGAACGCAGATGCCAATAAATCACAAGTCTTGCTGGTGGATTTAGTTGGGTATTTAGTGTGTGTAATAATGCTATTTATTGGAGTTGGATATGTAGTAGGAGTAGATGTGAGTAAGATTTATAGATTAAAGTTGTGTGTGTTTAATTTCAT